AAAGTTTTGCAATGCAATAGCTGTCCTAGGGGCGTGTAATCTGGGCGAAACGTACATGATTATATAATAATGCGAAATGAGCACGTCAGAAGAACAGGAAAAAACGGGGGAACCATTACCGACACGCAAAGATTCGATCAAGAGACTATCTCCGGCAAAAGAGAAAAGTACTGATACCTTTCAGCAAAGAATCAGTTTCGATTTTTCAGCTCAGTGGTGCTTACAGGGATAATATAGGATCCAGTGCGAGAAGGGCCCACTTGGATGCAAAAAGACATCGATCATATTCGACTCAAGGCAGCGTCTCAGCCGCAGCTGAAGGTTCAAGTTAAACCCAACACACCGAGGGAAGTCCGAGATCGTAGTGGCAAATCTTGGTTCATCGGCCCACTTTAATTGTAGGAAATAGCTTAACCCTATACAGTAAAACCCCGTTATAAGCAACCAATTCAGCAAGCCATTCAAATTGCTTATATCGGGGGATTGCTTATAGTGAAATTTCTATATAGACTAGTAGAAACCAGGATTTTAAGTAGTATGTGTATATTTTATTGTATATTTATTGGCCATTTTACATAGTGAAGAATACTCTGATAGTAGAATATTGTGTGGTAGAGAAATACATATAGTTTATCCGTAGTTGTTGATATGTTGTACAGGTAAGATTCTAAATTTAAAAACACTTCAAGATAGTGGAGCACGTGATTTTATATATATATATATTTTTAAAATATATATAATTGGTTCAAGGTATCCACTGTACTCCTCTACAAGAAATTTTGTATGGAGGATTGGGCAGAATGAAATTTCTCTGTATCGGGGGTTTAAGGAATTTTGTATGGTAGTCGATCTTAGACACCCAATCAAATTTGCTTATACCGCGTAGATTCCCTATATCGGGGTTGCTTATAGAGGGGTTTTACTGTAATAGCGCTTTTAATCAGTACGACAATTTCTTCACTCCTATTACTTATGACTGAAGGAAGGTTGTTCTAGCAATCACAATAATTGCTCAAGGCTGAACTCACTTGCCTTCCTGAAGGGTCACGACCTGCGAGATGTGGACTTTTTACGCTATGCGGTAGGTTAATATCCATGGACAAGTACGACACCATGGGTAGAAATGAAGATCCATCCAGAGTGAAAAGGTTATAGGAACTTAATGCCAAAGCAGGATCTTGCAAATACATCACTTACTACGGCCTTTGGGCTGGAATGTTGCAAGAAAACCTGTAAAAAGAAAACAAACTAGAACTGAGTTTCCTGAATGCGTACACAATTATTGCAAATTTTGATTGTATTCGTTCAGGATTTATGGCCCGACGCATTGCGTAGTTCTGTAAACTGCGCACGAAGTGCCACAGCTCCTCCATGCCAGCGTTATCCCGGTTGATAACCCCATTCGCATCTCTTAGTAATATTTACTTTCCCGCCGCGCTCGTGGACAGCTGGAGAGGTCACATTGTGTCTCAAACCCGATGCAAAGTGGTTATTGTGACAGCTCGAGTCTAACGGCCCCATTACCACCCCACTGGAGGCATTGTCCTCTTGCATGATGATGGTAACAATGGGAGGTCTCCGTGGGGTTAGACGGGATACTAAAGTTTGAGATGTGCTGGGAGTTACTAGCCTACTAGAGATGACTTGAATACACTTAATATGTGATGTTATAAACCCTTTTGTCCATTAGAAGCATGCTGGTTATGCTGTACAGAAAGTTAGCGTCTACCTAATGCAGTAATCCTGACGATCCCTACAATGTATCATTCCTACAGAGTACCCCAGCTGAAGCACAGCTCTAGCCGAGAGCTAGACCCACCGGACTATCTCCTCAGGCTCTAGGGTGCAGAAAAATCGTGTGGATCCTTGTGGGGGGGGGGGGGGGGTTCACTTACAGACCGTGAGTGAAATTATCAGAACCGCTGGGGCAAGGGTGGTCCTATTATATCTTGTATACAGCTGGCAAATTTCGTAAAAGGAAATGATATGCAAACACACCAGCAGAGATAGCGACGATATTTTCCCACATTGCGCCGCTTTGACAAATGCCGCTCGCTAAGTTCTGGTAGAGTGAAACCTCGATATACTCTGTAAGCAACTCCGATACAACAGATTTACCCGATACAAGCAATTTAGGAAGCCAGCTAAATAAATTATCTCGAGGTTTTTACTGCAGCTTCTCAAGCTTAGTCACAGAGTACCACTTCTGGCCAGAAGCCACTTTTTAATATATTACCAATACTTCGCCGATCAAGCGATTTTTATACGTATAATATATCGAATCGATTCAAAAGATTATTTAGGAGGCCTAGGATTTCATTGGTAGAAAAACACTGAGAGGTCTAATCGAAATTATACCTTAATATACATAGGATCTGGTTACCGTCCAGAGTGGCCATACTAAATAGTAGGGTTTAAATATCTGTATTTTCTATTATCTCGGCTTCTTTCTATTATATCCGGGTGATTTATCATGTTTTAAAATATAATTATATTGTTTTGTATAGTAATCAGAACTAGCGCATTCAAAAACGTGGCAAGCAGGCCTCTGTGGAGATTCCTCGACAGCACTATGCCCGCCGCATTTTTGGAGACGCAGCACTGCCCTAGAGAGCCCAGGTGGGTCTTCGACCACATCATTTCCATACCCAAGGCGATCATACATAAGTGTGTCGAGACCATATTTTTATAGTACTATTTACTCATGATCCCTCTCTTCTAATCGAAGTAACCCCCGCACCCTACAGGGTTCCCCAGACGTCGCTTAGAATTCTAGGATTCTAATACACCAGAGATTCGAGACATCATGGAAAGTCCAGTCCTTCAGTCAGGGTCTTTACCCTCTTTCAAGCCTTATGTTCTCTCACCTTTGGATCATGCTTTGGCTTGCTTCTATCTGACAGCGACCTTCACTTTCTCATTACAAGATTCGACGGAAGGCATATCAGTGCTTGAAGCAGCTGTATCGCAGTTAGTATCCAAGCTACCCTTCCTAAGTGGCAATCTAATCTGGAAAACCCACCCCGACAACGCCAATGTGATGGGAGAGATTCACCCGCCCATCGCAGCTACATGGAACACATATCCCATGCTGAGGGTCAAGTATCATGGCGGTAAATACACCCCAATATCATACGGAAGGCTCAATGGCCCAGCCCAATATAGTGTGGTTTCTTATGATAACATCTTGCGCGAGGAGTTCTTGCCATTGCCGTTCGAAACTATCCTTGGTGAAACAAGTCCTGTTTTGCGATTTCAAGCGAACGTCCTTGAAGATGGTATCATCCTCTGCGCAAGCTTTCACCATAATGTTATAGACGGGAAGGGAATGAATACAATTATGGAAGCATTGGCAGCATGTTGTCGGAACCCGACAAATGTACAACAGAATGAGCTTCCCACTGATCCGATCAGTGAGGCTCTGTGCCGCAACCGTCTCTCTGCTGCCGCCTCACCAACTCCTGATGCATTTGTGGTACGGAGAGGGAAGAATTGCCCTATACCCGCTGCACCTGAACAGGGCCTTCAGGCGCCCATCACTCGGTTGCTCGTCTTGAGCGGGGCGAAGGTCATACAGCTCAAGAGAATGTGCGATGCAATCGTGCAATCTAAGGCTCACGGAGAGGTCCAGTCTTCGGGAGTCAAACAACCGACCTCTGCATTGTCAAGCAATGACATTATCTCAGCCTTGATGTGGCTTTGCGTCCTCCGATCACGAGCCGCATCAGACCCTCGTTTCCTGAAGCGAGAAAAATCGTCCTTTTCGTTTCCTACTGATGCTCGTATAATTTTCACTGATGGTCTCCGGTCCACGTACATCGGAAACTCGGTCATTTCCGCCACTATAGAGTCGCCGTTCTTGATTGAGGATGCAGTCCACTCTTCTTCTGCCACAGTCTCCTCTCCGGATGAATTCAATCTAACTTTAATTGCTCGCCTGGCCCTAGTGATCCGGTCCGGGTTCAGATCTGTTAACAGAAAGTATGTTGAAGACGTTATTTCTTCCATTGCAACAGGTGATCATGCCATGGTAACCGCAAGTAACGCCGACTTCGCCCTGAGTAGCTTGCGGCATATGGGATTCTATGGGTTGAACTTTGGTCCGGTCCTGGGTAAGATTACACATGCTGATTTGCCGGATCCCCGAATGAAGAATCAGGCGTGGGTTCTTCCCGATAGGTATCCTGGTCCTGGTGGAAGGTCATCCTGGGAGATCCGCATGACATTGGACCCTCCCGTGATGAAGCATTTGGTTGAAGACAAGTTGTTTCAGTGGATGAGAGACACAAACTTATCTAAGTTATGATAAGTCTTTCGCTAGATAGCAGTATTCTATAAGTAACCTCAATCTCAGCGCAATTAAATAGTTGAATGAACTAACAAATGCAAAGAAAAAAAAAAGTGAAAAAGAAAATAACATACAACAGGAGGGATTCGCTGGTGGTCACCCACCCAACTACTAACCTCCCGGCGTGTGGCTTAAGTACGGCTGAGCGGACGGGAAGCCCTGTTCTCCACACCCTATGGTCGTATGTACTGGCTTGTACATAATTTAAGAATTATATATGCTGTGCATTTAGGTCATCATTGACTACTGCTACCTACTATATAATGGAGTACCGGATTTCGTTCCTGAGAGTTTCAGAGATGCTCAAAACATGTGTGCGCCCCACACGCGAGAATATAACAAAATACGCCACCCATATAGAGCAACTAGAAGCCGGTACCACGTCTCCTCTTTGCCACAAGCACACGCTGCTAACAATATGTTGAGCAAGGTCTGGTCTGCGTTGAAGCAGCTCGGTGTGACGGAACGAGGCGCCAAGTAGCCACTGGGATATATTGGAGAACTAACCCCTTTACTGTAGATAGGGTAATCTGTGTTAAACCCGAACTGAACGATGAAGAAGATCCTACATGATTCGGAGAATTCCTTCGGCTATATTCTCATCAAAACGCCTCTGGGCAAAAGCACAGATTCTGGTGTCATCTCTTGAGACTTAAGTGTTCTTCTTTTTGACAGACCGCCACTCCATCATCAAGCTCCCAATCAACGTCGCACATGTAAGTCCAACAGCGAGATACCACGTTTCACTCTAGCTTTTACCAATATCTCCAAGAAGCTCTCCATGTTTGGCTGGCGGTGCACGTCTCACAATTTCCGACAGCCCGCTGTCTTCACTAGTCGCGGGATTCAGACCTGGGACTACTCCGGCCAGGTTTGTTGAGAGTTGATTTGTAAATATAACTTGAGCTATCGCGACAGATATGGCAGGACCAAAGTGCTGTGCGAAGAGTACAATAGATAGGCCTAGTGAGACATCATCAGTAGGCAGTACTGTTTGAACAGCACTGATAGGCGCATTGAAACCTAATCCACTCGAGAAGCCATAGACACCAGAATATAGGATAAGTTGTACAAAGCTTGTATCAACTCCAATAGTTGTAATAAGGCCCGCAAAGATAGGCATCAATATAGAAGAACAAAGCATAAACGGTGTATAGTAGCCAAGTGTTGTAGTCCCTGACCCACAGAGAAGCATTCCAATAGTGGCACCAATCACGATTGGGACCATCATATAGCCACTTCTACTAGGAGAGTACTCGCGGATAACTTGAAAATAGGTAGGTAAGTAATACTCAAGCACATATGAGGCACTATTGGTGCACATTGTAAAGATAGCGCTGGCAATCACATTCCGGTCTTTTAGAACACGGGGCGGTAAAGCAGCAGTATCACCGCGCCGGCGTTGATTGTATAAGAAAACAAGGATAAGGACCACAAAAGTGACAAGAGGGCCAATAACTTTGCCGTTGTTCCAGGGATATTTTGTGCCGGCCCAGGAAAGCGCGATAAAAAGACTGGTCAGCGCTGGTATAAAGAGCAGGTTACTTATGGGGTCAACTTCAACCAACTTTCCCCTGAAAGTCATGTTTATGTTGCTGGGCTTTGGGTCCGAGAACAAGAAGATCGTCATCAAAAGCGTGACCCCTGCAATCGGTAGGTTAATCCAGAAACACCACCGCCAACCAAGTGATTGAGCAAGAAGTCCGCCAACAATAGGGGCAGCAAGAATAGCCACACTTTCAATGATCCCCAAAAGGCCACAGAAGAATGGCCGTCGATGGAGAGGCAGGATATACACAAGAATAGTGAAAAGTCCCCCAATGATGCCCGCAAAGGCCGCCCCAGTCACGGCCCTTCCAACAACAAACATGGACGAGGTCGCGGCTGTGGAGCAGAGCAAGGAGCCCACAAAGAAGATCGCCTGGGCGAGTAAGAATATACGCTTGATCGAGAATAGTTTATATAGTTTGCCGAAGATAAACTGGAATACGCAAGAACAAAGTCGGAATGCCGAGGAATACCAGCCTACATCAGAAACTGTGTGGAAATGATCGGTTATACTACCGAGCCGAGAATAATTAGCTTCCACGGTCTCTCACAGTTATGTGTAACTCGGACAAGATATCAACTTTGTAATATATACCGAGGCACTGCAGTGGCGACAATATTGGTATCCAGCCCTCCAAGAACAACTAAGGCACTCATCGTGAGGATGATAAGCCAGAACTTCCACCCGGTGGGGTACTGTTGAGCCTCTTCAACTGAGCAGGTCTCAGAGTCTATATGATCCTCCCTGGTAAAATTGCTCTCTTCAACAACCGTATTGGTCGTTCCGGGCCTACGCATCTGGACGGCATTGTCGGGGACACTTGTTGTCGTCATGGTCGACGTTTGCGTGGCTATTGCGAAATGATCAAGAAAGAGTCAGGACTAGAAGTCACCTGTCATGTGTAACGCAATAAGACACCTTAAGAGTAATACTGGGGGACTGGAGGGATCTAGAAGTAAAACTTGGGCAGGTTGTTGCTGTGGCGTTACAAGAAGCCAGGTAAACATCCCTGCCACTGTACAGTAAGCTACCTGGACTAGCCGCGGGTTAAAGGCTGTCGACGGCGATCCGACCCCGTGGCTATCCGATTGATGGGTACAGTATTATTGCCAACCTAATATCCAGTATTCTGGCCGCAGAATTTATTTGAACGCTATACATGCCCAATGATAACACTGTTCAATTTTTATAAGTCTCTATAGGAAGCTCTCTTTATTCTTGCAAAATATAAACATACTCAGTATTGATCTAGAATGGATCAACCTCCCCGGAACCCCATTTGCCAGTCTGTATTTGTCCCGAAGCTACCTAGGTCTTACTGTAAAGTCTAGGAACAATTAGTTACCATGCGGGTGTAGGAAATTAGTAATAAACAAAATTGAATGAACAAATAAGTGGAAAACTAAGGCTAGTCCTCCGTATAGGAAATTGTTGAAAGATTAATTGAAATTTACTTCGCCATGGTTAAGCCCCGAAAAGGAAGATCCACCCTGATCCAGATCCGCCGGATTCCCCGTCCGGATCCGCACTGTGGTTCTACTGTGGATGTACTATACATACAAAGTACTGTGTAGGCGGGACGGATTAGGCCACTCCGTTGAGGTTCTGATCTGCTGTGACATTTGCCAAGACGTCTCCTCTAACAACAAAGGTATCTAAGTATATGAGACAGTCCGGAAAGGGCCTATATCTGTCATAATAAGAGCTCAAGGATGGATCTGGATATAACGAGGTGGGTTCGCTAATTTACATTAGAGGAGATGTCTCTATGATTTTGTTCAGCTTGCGCTCCTAGTCGCCGTTGTCTAATTTTCCTAATGCCTTGTCTCTTTACTCCCTGTAGACCTACTGTTTTCTCTTTTACTAACGTTGGTAGTAAGGCTTACTTATTCACTATGTCATGAAAGTTAAGCATCTCAATTCTCGGATACCTGCAATTTTCTGTCGTCGAGGTCAACATCTTTACTTCGTTCGGCATACCCGTCATCAATTGCAACATCATTGCCGTGTTCAAGAAAGATGGAGACTAAATCCGTGCGGCCACATAGTACCGCACGCTGCAGAGTGTATATCCAGCGCCATGCCTTCTCGTGGTGGACATTCCGTAGTCCTGAAGCAGAAGGCGGAGCGTGTCGGCATTTCCAGACTCCACGGCCAGGTGAAGTAGGCTTGTATGCCCACACGATGGTGACAGGCTCAGTTCACTTTGTTCTGACTTTAGTGGCGACGGCGATTGGGTCTGCATCCTGCCAATTCCTTGAGTGGGTTTACTCTCAAATCCAGGCTTCTGGGAGACGTTGCTATCAACAATGATACTCCTCGTTACAGGCTGTGTAGAACTGAAGTACTGCTCTGCGTTATCTGTGAGAAATCGGTCATTCTCGACAAGGGCTGTTGAGGTTTTCCCTGCCCTGGTTACAAACTGAGGATTCTGGCTTGGCAAAAACGGTGGCGAGAGAACGGCTGTGTCGCCCTTATCCTGGAATTGATCCTGGCCAGATCGCATGCTAGATGCAAGCGGTGGCCGCTTTTGTGGAGCATAAGTGATCCGCGGCGTAGCATTTGGTGATGTCGCCGGCGTCGGTTCTTTCTGTACCAAATTTGAGAGGCCTGCTGGCGTCTCGAGATCATGAGAGGCTTTGGGGTTCGATGACGATTGTAGGACAGCCATCGACTCCTGCTGGGTTGGGTGAGTCCAGCCCTAGCCGAATATCAGCGCTCTACTGTTGAGGATGAGAGGCATTGAATCCTGAAGTCCAAACTCACCGTGCTTGCATAAACTGTCCGTTTATCCCCACCTCCACATTGCCCTTGACTATTAAGATCGGAGTCATGGCCAAAGGCCCCTAGAGGATTGGGATCCGTGCTTGGCAAAGCGTCCAGAAACGCGTCTAGTGAGGTACTCTTCTGTGTGCCCTCAAGCTCACAGATCCTTGCCTTGAGCCTCTGTACCTCATCTGTGCGCTCCCTCATATTACGGCCTAGTATAGGTTGTCAGCAGGTCAGATCTTGGCCGACGATAGACTTGTGACTTGCGGTAGACACGTTGTGTGATACGGTTCTGTATCTTTCTCCGCTCTGCACTATTTGTCAGGTTTGTCCGATCTTCGTCTGGCTTCATCGAGTCTTTGTACATATTTTGGCGAGGATTGTTGAGCGGTATGGCGACCAATCATACAAATACATAAACGCGTTGGGACTCTGCCGGTAACTGAAGCAAAGCCTAACAATATATTGATATGGCCCGGCCTTATATAGTACGCAATTGCATGGAAGTCCTTGGAGAGATATGCCTGAGTGGAGCATGTCAGCGATATCCATAGCAGAGTGACTGCGAGGATCGGGCTGTCTGGGGTAGAACCGAAGCATGCGACCTTGCATTGATTCTAATTGCTTAAGCCCGGTGGCTACCTCCAATGACATGAGTTGGATGTGCGTGGACTTCCCACTCAAGGAGATGAACACTTTGTTGTTAGCGTTCGCCTTGGAGGAGATTGAATATATAAGTGGACAAGCCTTTTTTACTAACGACAGCAGGGTCTCGAGAGGTGAAACTAGACTATGATAAGGGACCAGGGCTGGTCCGAGCATTCATAAGCCAGCATTAATTGACCATGGAGAAATTGCTTCCAAACTAATGCAGCAGGACTAGCTAGAGGTTGCTGTCCGCTTCACCTGGCCTGCCCCGATGGGGTACTAAGAGTTTGAGGCCGCGTTGTCCATCCCTGTGGTGGTAGTGACTAGTTTCTTGGTAAAATTCCTTTTTGATACCTTTTCTCTACGGTCCTTCGGTAGGTATGTAGTAATATCATCTCACTCAGTCTAGGATTAGATTACTTGCCAGTCGTCGGTCATAAGCCGACTACCTAATTATACACGCTTTGGACGGTAAATCTAGCTTAGTTATTCACAACAGAGCGGTCTCTATTACTCTGGACCGGTTAGTCCATATACGAAGATGGGTTAGAAATAGCAATATGCAATGCGGGTAGTCATCTATCTCTCCGGCAGGCCCAATAGAACAACGATAGCGGATCTATCAAGGAAATGTGAGCTCGGCCAGGATTGACACCTTTCCTGATAGCCCCAATAGGTAAGGAAGGCAGGAGGGAAGATCCGGCTCCTTGGAAGTTACTCGAAACTGAACGTGGGGTGGCATAATGATTCTGTTCCACGGACCCGACAGGTTGGGACAGGGTGTGATTCATATGCGTTGCGCGTTGTAGAACTGGATTTCTTAGCCTTGGCCTCAGAGTCTGTGCGTGGTATAAGGCTATCTGCGTGACTCATTTACAGATTTTAGACTAAAGCACTGTAACCTTGCAGGGGTGCCTCCGTTCGTATTTTTGCTTAATGAGGGGTATCGAAAGTTCCCGGGCCAGTATTAGCCTCCGCTTCATCACTCCCTCGGTCAGATTGGTGATCTATTCGAGGAGCCTATCCACGGATTCATCCATGATATGTCTTCTTCCGTCTTGATTCGCTATACACAACGGGCTTGGGAGTAGTGGGGTGCACGAGATTCTCGATCGGGTGCTGGTCAAGACCTCGGCCTTGAGGAGAACAAAAGAGGAGGGATCGAGAATACTGGAGGAGAACAATCTTGCTGGAAAAGAGTACCACTGGAAATGTGCCTACCCCAATGAGCCCGACTGAGTTGATATAAATGTATTGGAGGAAAGTATATTATTGTTTTCTAGATGCATCGAAAACAGCAAAGGCTGGGCTATATGGGTTACGAGAGGCGAGCGTAATTAACTTAACTATGTTCAATACCAAATCTCAACTACCCTAGCCTACACCCTATATGGATTTATATGACTGACTAACTGGAGTAGATCATGTTGGTAGGGGATTCCGACTGGCGGCCCTAATAGCCCCGGGACATGGGTTTTCCCGGCCGCTAAATGGTCTCACAACACTTAGTTGTTTAGGCTTAGCACACTTCGATAGCTCAGATTATATACTACGGCAACATCCTCAATATTCATGGATGTCTGCAATCCTCAATCCTCAGGTTTGTGGGTATGGTATACCACCCAATATCCAACGGAGAGGATATACCGCAGTCTAGCTCAAATGGTCATCATTAATTCAATGTTTTATGATCAAGGAGCCGCCAATAGACCGTTAACAAGGTACATTGGAAGGGAAAGAGAAAATGCTACTGCGGCCGTAATAAGAAATGCAATATACGATATCCATTCCCTACAAGGGCGCAACAGCCGGGAGCACTAGTACTTTGACCTAAGATGGCAAGGAAGACAAGCAGTCAACTATGTAAACATGCGTATGTCGTTGGGTAAACTCTTTACATATTGCTAGGTTAAGCAGGTAAGGTACTAAAAGCAGAGAACAAACAACAACAACATCAACAACAACAATGACAACAATGACAACAATGACAACAATGACAATACTCTGAGCAAGCTTCGAAGGCTATAAATAGGTCTAGATGATCTCCACGAAGTGGCTATTGCGTCTCAATCATAGCCCCATGAGTGGCTAAGAAGTTCGCCTTTGAAATGGGATCCTCCAATGCGGTATATTGCTCTGCGTGCTCGCTGCCGATAGGCAATCGGTACTTTGTGCTTCCGTTACGGTACACGTAGTAGTTTGCCTTTACCACAGTTGGCAGACCTCTCCTATTGGATCCTGTTCGCAAGCTGACAGCGCTGATCGACATCACACCGTTGTCCACTGACCAACAGTTATCATCACGACCCAGTACCACCGCACATCCATCGTCATCGCCTTGGACACTCCATGCATACACTGGGTCACCATGCGTGCTTCCTGCAGACATATATAACTCATTTCCTAGACCCGTACAGCAAGTATTCACATCGCTCACATCGCTACATTCTATACTGAGCCATTCCCACTCACAGCCCGGTCTGTTATACAGTGTCAGAGACGAGCTGGCCTCGGCCGTCGCCAGAAGTTACAAGAAAGCAACAAATGGCAGTGGCGAACACTTCATGGCGATGATTTCAGGTTTCGAATGCGTCAAAGCTATGGCACCTGTGTGAGTATAGCCCTCTTTTAGAGCACTTTGAGGAATCTCTCATCCATGAGGTTAGAGACATACCAGACACAGAAAAATGATTGCAGCAGTTACATTTTTCTCCAGATATAGGTCTGAATCCTCAAGGCGACTCTAAAGAGAAAAACAAAGGATGTTATACTTAGATGCAATTCAATGCGCTTGATCCTTTTTATTTATGTTTCCCTGTGTCGGCCTATTGTAGAGGCAGTTGATACGCAGCTCTACGGACAACTGATGCTGAGCCTTTTACTATGCTTATACAGCTTCACAAGAACTACCCAACGATATGAATTAAGCAATGTAGTAGTTGTAACCGCCATTTCTATAGTAATTAGTAATTAGTACAGTGGCTGGACCTACACTTAGGCTACCTGTTGCTTACACCATATTGCTTGATTATCAAGTATAAGCCAATGAATCATGCTGACCCTCTTACGTACCTCCACCGAGACTACCTCACAGTAAACAGTAAGCAGCGTAGCAGCTGTAACCGCTTTCAGTTGAAATCGCTTACACAATATTGACTATTTATGAAAGTGAGCTAATTAATCCCTGTATCATTCTGTACACGAACGTATGTTACCCCGCAAACCGTCAGATTCTCCACGGGTCATGTCAGTTGGGAAGCCATTAGCTAATATTTTAATTCTGGCTCCGGGATAGGATTCCAACATCTCCATCTTCTTAGGGGACTTTTTGGTTACTGATTTTGTATACTACACTACGTCTATCATGCTTAAGACTATACTAGGCATCAGCCCTCCCCGGGTCGAAGTTAACAAGGAGGATAATTTCGAAAGATGGTATGAGCAGATCTTGGTAAAAGGTGCAATGATCGATCACTGCAGCCTTCCTGGCTATTTTATCCTCAAGGTCTGTTTAATCGCAAGTCTTACCCATGACCTTTAATAAATATAATCTGACTGCGTGCAAAGAGCTGGTTGCGTACGGGATGTGGGAGAAGGTTCGCTTTTGGCTGGACGACCACGTTAAGCCCTTGGAACTACAGAATGTCTCTTTCCCCATCCTCCCTTACCTAGGTGATAGGACCCAGGCGCCTTATGCTGTGCCTGGATCCAGCAGTTTCCCGACTTCTGAATCCGTTATCTATCCTTCCTGCAGAGACTGGATCAAGAGTCATCGAGACTTGCCACTACGACTGAATCAGTGGTGCATCAGATTTCAACATGAAGACAGCCCACAGCCACTCCTCCGAAACTGCGAATATCTCCTACAAGAGGCCCATGCAGCATATATGACCAAGGAGAGCGCTCATCAAGAGGCTGCACAGATCCTTGAACTTTATAGTTTACTTTATCGGGATCTCCTCGCCATCCCCGTCATCAAAGGCTATAGGAATGCAGCCTATCCCCAGGACGATGGCATCAATACTGGCGTAGTTGTAGCATACCTACCTGCTACAAACCAGTGCATAGAGGGTGCAAAATGCCAAGAATTTGGTCAGACTATGAGTAAAGCGTACGATATCACAGTGACAGACCCTTCAGCAAAGACAGAACCGGCGCCGCTCCTTCATGTTTGGCAAAACTGCTGGCGTGTTTCTATTAGAGCCCTCGGTGTGATGGTGGCCACCCACAGTGACAACCATGGCCTTGTTTTGCCGCCTCGCATCGCAGAGGCGCAGGTCGCCATTATCACAACACAAACTTCTTCAACTGATGAACAGCTAATATTGGACACAGAGACTGATAGACTTGTTTTGCGTCTATCATCAGCAGGAATTCGTGTCAAAGTTCATGACTTAGAAGGAAACTCTTTGGGATGGAGGCTTAACGAGTGGATCGTCAGTGGCGTCCCCTTATTCATAGAATTAGGCCCAAATGAAGTCACCAGTCAAGTCGTGACTATAAGACAAAGGGACCTACTCTACACTGAGGGAAAATTTGACGTCGCAATCCCCGAATTGCATAGTGTCATACCAGCCACATTAGTCAACATCCAAGAGGAGCTTTATCGCAGTGCCCTCGCTAAATTTCAGGTAGACCAAAGGCGTATTGCCGACAACTGGGACGAATTCATCAAGGGCCTCTACAAGGACAAATTGGTGTGTCTCGCACCGCACTGTCGACAAAGGAGCTGTGAGCTATACATTGAGGGCATTGGCAGTGGTAGAACAGGCGAGGGGCTTGGTAGTCATATCAGGTGCCTTTGCGTTCCCCTGGAGCAACCAGAAGCTACTGAGGAGAGTGCCTCCCCATGTATCAATCCAACTTGCAAGTACAGGGCCCTGAAGTGGGCTATGTTTGGTTGTAAGCACAGTCCTGGCACTCCAATCATTCTTTCGTGTTTTTCTTCTTGTCTTCATACAGGATGCCTTACAGAACGCATTGCTTACTCTTTTCCTTTTATTTTCTACTGTAGATGCTTACTAGGATGCACTCTATGGTTGGACCGATGATGTTACACCTTCCCCACGGAAAGCCACTTGTTTCAACACCGACAAGCGGATACGTTAGAATATTATGGATAGGAAGTTCATTTCTGGGTCACGACAGAGCTATTTTGAGGTAAATGTATAGCGGCGCTGGTGATGCCACCGCTGCGTTGACGACCGATGAACACATGTCCAGTTGGAGAGCAACAAGGGCATTCCATCTTGCGCCGTGCGCTTAGCAGATAATTGAGAGCATAAAAGTCCGGTGAAGGAGACTGACTGCATATTATATTATGATGATTTAGATAATATATATGAATCTAATTTTCGATCAGAATTTGGTTGTTCTTGTCGTATATATAATTTACCAACTTAATCATTGTGAAATGTCTTAACTATCCCACACAAGACTGCATTATTCTCACCAGATGTATTTGCCTGTCGCAGTATTGCGAGACTAAGTGCTTGACTTTTATTACCATCTCATACCACCTCACGGGTTTTGACCACGGTTGAAAACCTCTCTCAATTCAACTACCAACCATGCCTCCAAAAGCGTGTCAAAAGTCAGGAGACTTAGCTGAAGAGGAGGGCAGTATCGTATTTGCTATTTCAACATTTAGAAAGAAAGGAATCTGCAACATTACTAAAGCAGCACGCGTTTATAATGTTCCACGTACAACACTTCGAAGACAACTAAATGGCCCTACTTTTCGAGCAGAAACACACACCAATAACCATAAATTGACCCAAAATGAAGAGGAATCGCTTGTACAGTAGATTTTATAACTGGATCAACGTGGAGCGCCTCCATATAATAATCGTCCCGACACTCTACGGGCGTTTGCGGGCAGAGTACAGTGCACCTCAGATATACAGTTGTACAGTTTCCCGCACAGTCTATATGCAATGTATATAGCTTATCCAATCCCTACTTCCCTATAGAAATCCTATACCCTAGTACTAGAGTTGCACGCGGGTCGGGTTTTTGATAGGACCGCACCCGACCCAATACACGCTAGGTTTAGGCCTAGCGTGTAGTGGCTGCGGGTGTCCACTGACAATATTTAGTTCTCTGTGTTGACCTCTTAACTCAGTCAAATATTGTTTCTCTGTGGGTGTATAAGTATAAGGCTGGGGTGTGTGAAATAGTGTGATATTAAAGAAGTGGCTTATCCTCGCAGTGACAGTGGGTTATATCTGCCTTGCCTTAAGGTATTGTCGCTGGAGTTTCGTATAACTCCCGCCAGTGTGCGAGGGTTTAAGGGTTTTGCTCGCGGGATGCTTACTCAGCACCCGCAAGGCCAAAGTCCCAGGCGGGTTCGGGGCAGGTTTTTCGGGGCACCCGATCAACTCTAATTTTAACCGAATGATTCAGGGACCCCTATCCCGCGGCGTTGGATCACGTGGTAATTTCTAGGGGGTCAGACCCTTATATACCAACTAGTAGATACCAGCTAGTAGACATACTAATATGCTAGCTAGTTAATATATTGGTGTATTAACGCGTTTCCCTAGAATAATAAAAACATAGCCATATAGGCTATTTCACCTCATCTCTTCGAGCGGAGGGAAATTGGGCGATTTACTGCAAAATATATATTGTTGACCACCGGTTCCCCCCCCCCGCAAGGCTCAGCGGAGCCCGACCCTTAGAGCCAATCCTTATACGGAAGTTATTGATCCCTTTTTCCAACTTCCCTTTTCAGCATTGTTCTACCAAATAGAGACTAGACTGTTCACCTTGGAGATCTGCTGCGGTTCTGAGAACGACACGACCTGGCGTGAAATCCTTTCCCTCCCGCACCTTAGCGTGTGACTTCGGGTGAGCGAGCGGGGCAACTGGGGTGAGTATAGTTGACGGGCAAGGCTCACCCGAGAACGCGCGACCTCGCAAAACCTTTACCCAAAAGCAGAACTTTTGACCAACTTCGCTTCTCTCCTAGCGCGGAAATATACCCCCTTTCAACTTCTGTAGTAGGTACACCTCCGTCCAACGGCAAGTGCTGCGGCAAGAGGGAGCCAATTGGCTTTCAGTGACCCATGCGGCGCAGTCATCTTGCAGGCAGCCTGCCGCGGAAGACGGAGAACTATTCAATGATAAAGAATGCTTTCAGAAAATAAGGGGGTGTCTTGACCTGATCGACGCTGCTTCTTTCCTACTTCTGTTATGAACGCCAGAAATTCGCAAATTGGCGTTCGTCTAGAGGGATTCTCCACTGAATGCAGTGGGTATTAATACCACCTCGCTCCGTTGTCTATGATAGATCCCTGAACAGTTAACCTCCCATTGTTGGCCTAAAATGACGTGCTAAGCTCCTCTAATCTAAGAACACAATGTCTCTCATGATTTTTCATTTACCACCACAGTTGCTGGGGCCCACACCTTCGATAGATCATAGTGCTCGGCATTTACCGTACCGAAGGCCAGGACAACCGGTCGAATAACAAGGAGCACCTGCTTACCATCCAACCTGCTATCCTCTTCGTCCAAATGATGCAAACGGTGTGCAATCATCATTGGACTGGCGATGGCGAAGTCTGGCAGATGTTGCTGGTTTCTACAGACCATTAACGTCGGCTGACTCCAAAGCGACAATGCGAGATGTGCAGCCGCGGCGTACAGCGATTGGAGCTCCTGATTCATTTTCTTGGCATGATCTGTATCCAATGATCGAAGAAGAGTGCAGGCTGAGCTACCGAGGAAATTTGTCACAAGTCCACTGCTAAGTTCCTCAATCCTCTCCTGCAAGATAGGTTTGGTTTTGGTGTGCGGATCAGTTGCAGTGGAAAGAATTCGTATGGTCTGTGAGCGCCAAGTGTGCGCTTCTGCCTCATGAACTGTATTGGCGTTTGGTTAGCATGTTCTTTTAGCTTCTGTACTCACATGTTCTTCTTACCCTGTATCATGTACTTGTAAAGCCTGTCCAATGCTGCCGGCTCGGGAAGACTGTTATCATCGCCGACCTTTCCGAAGGCAAAAAATGGGTCCACAAACATCCTCCCAAACACATCCTTGGCTAATAAGGCTTGTAAAAGGATAACTGGGACCTTATCGAAGGAAAACGATACTTTGCACATCAGCGACGCCCAATCCTGTTCCCGACAGTATTCGCCCAATTCCTGAATGACCTTGTCCTTCTCATTATCTTGAATATTGTCTAAATCAGTGAGAGACTTGACACTGTAACTTCTGGCCCAGGAGCGTATCTTGCCATCCAGCTTGAGCAACTCATCCCTAACAACCCTGTCCTCCTTAGGAGCCCATCCGTTGTTTGACGCCATTGACTGGAGAGCATGTTCTTGATGCGCGACAACTATGGTCTGCAAATGTTCATTATCCTCCGATAACCGAGAAAGGATTTCGTTGAGCTTTCGAATTTTTGTATCACGTTGCTGCAGCTTGTATTCGTACGCGGACCGTTGTTGTTGGCGATCACTTTCATGCTGGTGTACTTCCTCTGCTAGGCGCTGGGACTGAGCCTCGAATTCCTGGCGTAATAGATTGTATTTCTCCTTCCATTCCTCAATTGGCACACCCTTTTCTTTGTCTTGGTGGAGGTACTTGATGTCTCTTTTATGGGCTCTATTATTAATGTGAGCACCATGCGACTTTGTATCGGCCCCTGTTCCAGTAGCTTCATGGGCTTTTTTTGCCCGCGAATCTCGTTCCTTATCTGGGCGCTCAAGGGAGTCTGAGGATGGGCTTATCGGTTCCTCTGACTTTCGCCCAGTCAACACCTGTCCGAGCACCATTAGTACTTTCTGAAAATCTAGTTATTGGGAGCTGAATGGGGGCAGACCCGTGTAGCACCGCCCAAGATTCTACCCATCGCTCCCCTTTCGGTCCTTGTACGGCGGCTATTGTTGCCAGATAGTGGACCATGGCTAGGTGCCTAGCATATAATAACCCAGTGAGCTAGTGCGTGAAGCAAACAAAGGTAGCCAGGAAATTCTGTTACACACTCTTACCAGCTTTTGAGTCTCTTTGGACGTACCCCTACCTTCCGCCATGATTACCCAAGACGGATATTCGACAATAGCTTGGCCAAGAATCGAAATATATTTTGTGGCATCTGTTTCACGGACTATGGAAATTAAATGTGAGCCCGTCTATAAGAGTTTCTTCTCAGAGTGGCAGCTGTAAGCACGGCCGCTTAGACCTCGAACACCCCTGCCTGGGCTAGGCTTTAGGGCTTACTATGTTGAGCTGCCCGCAGCTACGCTAAACTTAGCGCCAGCGGTCTGAATTAGCCCCTTGCCATCATAGCCAGGAGTCGCGGCGGAGAGTTCTACTATTTGTTCCCCGTGAGCGGCTGTGCGTGGTTCACCAGATTAGGAGTTAACAGAGAGTCATCATTCAAGTACAGCCAGTTCAATTCTGCCTTCACCGGAGGCATACAGCGGAACTATGACGCTTGATTCGAACTTCACCGTCAATTTCAGCTCCCTTGCCCTATCTTCTAACCGCAAGATCATTGTGGGGGTGGATTATGGTACTACATATACAGGTATCCCCCCATTGTCTGGCTATGCCGCCGCTGGAAATTTGACTGACCGAAGGTTAAAATAGGAGCCAGTTATGTGAGCTCGAAAGCGTCTGGCTTGAGCGATATCATACTCATCAACACCTGGCCTGGCCCCTCTAAAAATACTGATGCCGTCTACAAAGCGCCGTCCCGTATCGCATATGCTTCCGATAATCCCCGTATTTCTCTACAGCGCTGGGGTTACCAGGTTGAGCCCGGGATGGTGGCGTATTCATGGACCAAATTGCTACTGGATCAAGGCACGCCATTGTCCGACTATGACGATTCCTCTCTTGAAAATGCTTCTCAGGCTGGTATAATGCGTGTTCCGGAGGGGAAGACTGCAGTCGATGTTGTTTCAGACTATCTGTCTGAGATTTATAAGCATATATTGAAAGCTATTTCTAAGCACATTACCGAGCAAGAGCTGCATGTCACCCCAATAGAGTTTTGGTTCACTGTCCCAGCGATTTGGTCAGACAAAGCTCGGGATGCCACAAGAACTGCTGCTCGACGGGCAGGATTTGGAGGTAGTCTTTCCCGGCAAAGCGATAAGGTGTTCCTGATTAGCGAGCCAGAAGCAGCCGCAATCACAGCGCTAAAGAAATATACTACGAACAGTATAGGAGGCTCTGTTAAGGTGGGCTCTTGTTTATTCTGTAAGTCTCTGTCTAACACAGGTTCTAGGTCGGAGATGGGGTGCTTGTCTGCGACTGCGGTGGTGGTACTGTAGTATGATTTTCCTGGAGGCTACGCAATATTTCAATGCTGATATTTCAGGACATTACGACTTACGTTGTGAATCGGGTCTCTCCGTCCCTCGAATTCGAGGAACTGTGCACAGGGATCGGTATGTCATTTACTTCAGTGTTCCTATCCTTGGAAACAGGCTGAACAAATGTCTAGGAGGCAAATGCGGCTCCACAGCAGTGGACCGGAATTTCTACAAGCTCATGTCGGATAGGTTCGGCGATGCGTTTAACAATTTGCCTATGAAGCGCAAGAGCCCCGGAAGCGAGTTCATGAAACAGTTTGAGACTGTCAAGAGGGATTTTGGCAGCTCTGATGAGTTGACCACGTTTGAGCTGCCTCTTAATATGACAGTATCTAACGCAGACCCAGAACACTTTGATGAGGAAGAACGGATAGTTATTATCTCAAGGCAAGGATTTGCCTTTTTTATTTACTTACCTTTCATAGCAAACTACTAACAGCTGATTTAGTAATGATCTGCGCACCATCTTTGAACCTGTCATAGAAAAGATTATTAGTCTAGTGCGACGGCAAATTGAAGATGCCCATGAAGAGATTGGGAAAGATATTATCAATGTACGGCTTGTGGATTTCCCTTGGTCCCTTTTCTCTAACTCATTTTCTTGTTTTCGGCCTCATGGGATCCTACTGACAGCCTTTCAGAGGATTATCTTGGTGGGTGGATTTGGCGACTCTGAATACCTCCGCAAATCTTTCCGGTCATCCTTTGAGGCTGAAGGCAAGATTACCGTCACAATACCTGATGCCCCGTAAGTACTATCGATTGTTGGATCCAGCGAAACTACCTACGGCCCAGTCACTAAGTACTTTCTAGACAAGCTGCTATTGTACAAGGGGCTGCGCTGCGAGGGTTAGAAGGCCTCCAGTCAACTACCAAAAGATGCCGTCGGCATTACGGCTTCTGCTACGGCATCCCATTCAGGGACGGGATAGACAATGAGAGCGATGCTTATGTACACCCTTACAGTGGTACGAAAATGGTCGCTGGCATTATGAAATGGATGATTGCCAAGGTGAGTCTTTCCGGAACGGCTCTGCTAGGCACTAGTCTCCGGAGTTCTCCTGATATGGAATTGAATAGGGCGACAAGTACGAGGAGGACTATACAGAGAGCATCGCTCTTCGTCGGCCCCATACTGCGTCCTGGGGCAGAAAAAAATCTATAACTCTCTACGCATGCGATCAAGCTAGCGCTCCCGAGCGGGTAAATTGTAAAGGTTTGTCTGCTGAGGCTTCCAAATGTGCCGATTGATCTGACGAGGAATTAGATGTTTATGAAGTGGGTGACATAGTTGTAGACTTCACGGGTGTGGACTTGCAACAATTCGATTCAAAGATGAAAGACGGTAGACGCATGTATAACCTGACTTACGATGTCAAGGTAATATTCGGCGCACAAGAGGGTGTCCTGAAGTTTGAAGCTGTTAGCCAGGGGCAAACAATTGGTCGGACAAGTATCAACTTCGCCACGATCGAATACTATTAACTAGATGTCTTCTCAGAATATCTGCTTTACAGCCAATTTCTTGAATTGAAAGCGAACAATCCTTGTATCACGATGTTATCACCACTCTGCCTGTCAGCTTGCCTCAATTTCCCATCCTTGATCAACTCTTCCTTCTATTGGATTTCTCGCATCTACTACTACGCATAACACTGCCTTGTATTGTATATATCACAACATCTCCTCCGGAAGATCGATGAAAGATCCTGGCGATTCATAACCGTGAATCAACTGTAAGCTACAAAAGATCATAACTGGCGTACCTTGTCGCGGTTGGGATCGGAGGAGCCAAATATGTAATTAGAAAGACACTCGCTCTGTAATTATATGCGGTACACGCAGAGAAACATACTGAATCTCAGATTAAGAATTGAAATATCTTATTTCCAATTTGTTGCTGAGTAGCAGAATGCTATAGGAATAGATGTAGGATATGTGCTTCACTATGAAGTGCTAGAGAATATGGTAAAAAGCAGAGTAAATGACGCAGGTCCCGCACGATCCATATCCACGGTGGAAGCCCTCACGCAATCAGTTGACATGCTACGGGATGCACAAAAGGTCAATGAGTTAAAATTCGACGACTTTACCGCAAAAGCAATCACTGCAGAAGATCCCCATCAGTAAAATAAGAAATATTTGAATTCCAGCTAGTGCAATTGGTGAAACTATACGAACCATAAATAAAATGGTTTAGCACCTTCCACCGCATCGCTACGTTATTACTTTCGCTGAGAAACCTAATATGACTACGACGAGCCTGGCGATGTTTGAATGTGGCGAGGAAACTACCATATCCCTCGGCTATACCTAAAACATACTATTTTGGAGGCTAGAGTGGGTTATTTTAGATGCGGAGGGGAAGCTCAATAGAACGATATGCATATATATATTTAGCCGACACTTATCAAAGGTTCGCTATCATTGTAGGACAACTGGGCTTGGTCTATTTAGTCTATTTTTGATGGATAAGGCACTCTTTATCTTGACGCTTGGGTTGGCCCGTTGTGGGACGAGCCCTCTTTCTCCTCTCGAAGTCTGAACGGCGGCGACGACGAAGCCCACTGGATGAGAGTCCTACTGCAGAGATTGCATGAGTTGTCACTGTGGTGATGAGGATCCACACCGCTGCATTGTGTAGATTAGGCCTGGGATCTGTATGCTGGGGTGAATCGTGATGGCGGGTTTACATTCGTGTGAGACACTAGGAAAGGTCGGATGCATATGGATATAGTCAGCACTCGTTATCTTGTTGTATTGTATTTGATGCGGTTTTTTCAAGTAGTGGTAATTCAGAGTAGTACATAGTTGTTTTATGCATCTAAACGCACCATAACCGCAGCGAGAGATATGCTGATCACGGCTTGTCAGCCCAAGATCAAGAGGGAAACTCAGCGAGTGGGAAATAAATCCCGGCCAGTCACTATCTACGGGATGCCAGCTCTATCTCATCATCTTGATGGTTCTGATTCGCTAGTGTTGCGGAGTAGGGAAAGGGGTTATCAGTCCTGTAGTGCCACAATCTGAGAAAGCCCCATGTCTAGTCATGCTCACCCGCCATGTTGCTTAGCCCCAATTCACAGGGGACTGGGGATCTTTCCCCTCACCAGAGTCCACTTGGTTGTCTGAGCCCCCTTCCGTCAAGGGATGGCTGATATTATAACCAGGTGCATGGGTATCCGATACGCTCCAGGACGAGCAGGTTGAATCAACGATTCTGACCTTTATCTTCAATTAAACTGAGTAACTTCCAATCTTCAGACAGAAAAAGGTGTAGTGCGTGCTTGGATGGTTGGCCTGATGCAAATGTTCTATCACTACGGGTGATCTGGACACCCATTAGCAATATCCAGTTGGAGTAGGACGCCCACAGCGATGATACGCGAGATGGTAACTTGACTGAACAGTCCAAGCTATACTTCTGTACCGAGCCAGAGCACAACAGAGACGACAGTGTGTGCACGGTTACTCAAGCAACCGATGCTGATCGAGTAACCAACTGTGTCAGAGGTCGGCCCTCCTATCATATCCTCCGTCTCTGACTCCCCAAAAGCCAATGCTATCTGAGCTGAAGAGCGGGCATCTGATTTTTCGCTAGGAACCCCACACACGTGAAGCACTCGGCGACAAAACATACATCGACGGAAAGCTTCGAGAAGTTGCAGAAGAACCCCTTGCAGTCAGCCACCCGCTCTGCGGGTGGGGTGTTAGGACTTGAGCAGAGATTGTGGAGACTGGCCACACGGGTGGTACTGCTATAGAAGAATACTCCCCGAAGCAGAGCTTTCACAAGAGGTGGATAGATCGACGAAGGGGCCTCAAGAGGCCGCGGCGCCTATATGAAATTGCCCGATACACAACCGGGCTCTTGCACTTGGAACCCCAGCGAAATGACAGAGCTTGTGGATCGTCGGATAAATGGCTATGCCCTGCTTTAGTTCTCAGTAGTAGTAAGATACAAGAGCTGGAATAGATTGTACCTGTTGATTTGGCCAATAGCAAGGAGGTAACAAACCGGTTAGACCGTCAATCTGTATCGTCTCAAAATAAGCCTATCTAACCTTGCTATCGGTTTGGTGTAATAGACAAGCGCGACAAGGACAGCCTCCTGCACACTTAAAGCGTCTTGGCTGTCATTCTCCAAGTATGACCGGCATTCCTTGCATCTTCTAACCTCACAGGCTGTACAGGCAAAGGGGCTTTGGATAGTGTCTACGACAATAGCTGACGATAGGGCCGTAGGTTAGAGAAACACGCTAGCCTGACACATCTTCTGAATGGGCTCCCTGATATCACCTTGACTCGGCCTCGAGGGTTACATACTAAAAAGGATTTGTCCGCTCGTGCTCGAAATGACCCGAAGAAAAGCTTATTAGATGAGCGGATTGATGTCCAATTAGCCCGAGACTCATCTTGTGTGTAATATCTCCTCTTGCCTTCGGATGTGGCTGGAATTTGAGGGGGAAGCTTACGGTTGCTACTGAGACTGCTGCCGCCGCGAGGTGTCGACTTGGCTTGGCTAAATCCAGCATATCTGTGGAGTAGAATCATCTCAATGTGAGACAAGGGGTGCCTTGGGAGTTGGGGGTTCAAACCTTCTGGTTGTTAGTGAGGTCTTGGCCAGCGCGAGAATGCCCTACGTTACATTTTCGGCAATAGACCATGACCTCCATTGCCGAACGTACTTCAGACATCGATCAACAACACTCCCACCGCGATCTTGCTTTTTATGGTGCGGATCGTCCGATGCAACTTTAAAGTAGCCGGCTGAATTTCTTTATTACCTAAAGGTGATTTGGATAAACAATTTAGCCTCAAATGTCACCCCGCGTGTGGTTGATGATCGCCGGAGTATGGGTCTTGTCATCCTTGCGGAATTACTGCCGAAGGATATCAATTGTACATTCTTAGTCTGAGCTCTGGATAATGGTGGTTCTGTATATGGAGTAGGAAGTAGGGGACATAAAAAGAAGACGAAACCTGCCTCCTTCATCACTTAACCCGCAATTCACTTCATTATTCTCGATTCCATTTATTATTACCTACTTAGAACCAAACCACTTCTCACTTATTCACCATCTTTTTTGAGACCACGTAACTACTCCCTCAATATGCGCTCTACCTTGACCTCATTCTTCGTCGTAGCTGCTGAATAGGTCATACATGCCGCCGCAGCTAGTTCCTCTGGATGCGGCACAAACCCAACCCTCAGCAACGGTCTAAACTACATGGACGTCAATGGGCAGTCTCGGGAGTACATCATTCAAGCCCCCGACAACTATGACGCCAGTACTCCTCACAAGCTTGTGATAGGGTACCACTGGCGTGACGGCACCATGAACAATGTCGTTGAAAACGGATTCTACGGGCTGAGCTACCTGGCCGGGAACGCACCCACCATCTTCATTGCTCCCCAGGGGCTGGGCAACGGCTGGGCCAACAACAACGGTGACGATATCGCATTCACCGACCAAATCCTCGACGCGATAGAATCCTCCTTCTGCATTGATCAGGACCGCCGTTTCGCCACCGGCTGGAGCTGGGGTGGAGGCATGAGCTACTCGGTGGCCTGTTCGCGAGCTGACGTTTTCCGCGCTGTTGCGGTTCTTTCCGGTGCTGAAATCAGTGGTTGTGATGGCGGATCTCTTCCCATTGCATACTTTGGTCAGCATGGAATTAGCGATAGCGTGCTGGGTGTCGAGCTTGGCCGTACATTGCGAGACCACTATGTTCAGGTGAATGGCTGTGATGCTGCGACTCCCCGTGAGCCCGGGGTTGGAAGCGGAACACATGTTGTAACTGATTATACGGGTTGTGCTGAGGGTTATCCTGTCCAGTGGGTTGCTTTTGATGGTGATCACGAACCACTTCCTTCAGACGGAGGTTCCTCGGATTCATTTACCCCTGGTCTTATTTGGAACTTTTTCTCTCAGTTTTAAACTAAATCAAGGGGAGCTGCTTTGGAAAGGCATTACGGAGGAGGGAAAGATTGACAGAAGCTGTTTAGTGCCTTCTATGTCTAACCATATTGTCTCTCGATGCATGTGTCAAGGAAGTTATGTTTGGGCCTTCATCCTAATTGATTATTTATTTTATATGCTGGGAACGAAAATGTTAATGTAAAATGATAGTGAAATCTGTGAGCCGACCATTTCCATGCTCTATCATAGTATAGACATTTCATTATCCTTAGGATCGGCCGAAATCATAATCCTGAAGCATGGACAGCCAAAGGTACGCCCTACCGACTAAAGATTTATATATTTTTCATTTATTGTATTTTAATAGTCGATGCGTACAACGGCTGTTGAAGAAGACTGGAATCAATCTTCGGATCACAAACGGTTCGGAATATCTGCAAAATAATCATTGTAATAGGCTGTCACTAGTGCTTCTATCCACACACTTTCCACTTTCAAAGCCTTCCATGACCGACTCGGCCCGCACTTAAGATTTGCTAGGTAATGGTAATACTCTCTACCCCTCACTATAGCCACTAACAACAGCTAATAAAGTAAGCCTCACTTTAGACCTTCAGTGTTAGGAGAGCGGGCTTCCATGGCAGCAGGTTGTAATCGCCACTAGCGTTAGGGTCCCGCCCTTGGTAGAGCAACTGCAAATTGCAAGGATCCACAGTCATCGTCTGATCGGGGTTGCTGCGAACCAGATCACCGTGACTGATATCGTTCGTCCAGGTGGCGCCACTATTGACCTTGCCAGCGAAGGGCTGGCTCTCGGTGCCTGCCTGGACAGTCCACTCCCCATCCAGACTATCAGCCGTGAAGGAGCGGAAATAGCGTCCATTGGCGCCCATGGCCTCCACAATCATCAAGTACTTGTTTTGGCCGTCGACAGTGTAGACCTGAACCGCTTCAAATAGGTTCTCCCTCGTGTCACTCAGGATGATCTCGGATTGGGTCCCGAAATCACCAGGAAAGTTATCGATGGGCATGCTGGAGCGGTAGATCTTGCCATTATCACCCGCAAAGAAGAGATACATGTCCGTATCATCGCCAATGACAGTTTGGTCGATGACTCCCGTATCAGAGTCGGAAATAGTTCCAGAGAAGAGAGGCTGGGCCGCTGACCAGCCATTAGCGTCGGTAGGATCACTGGAGGTTTTGTAGGAGAATGAGGTCGGACCCCATTGGTAGGCGAGGATCCAGACATCCTTTGGTGCAAAGTAGAAGAGTGTGGGTGCAACAGTGCCCTGGTTCATGGCGTTCTGGCTTGCCGAGGCCATCTCAGACCAGTCGCTAAAAGGACTGAAGTTCATCGAGCCATAGTTCCCGGAGGTATCGGCGACTGATGCATAGACGATATGCTGGCCGTTGGACACAACATTGGTGAAGTCCTTGAGTGCAGCCCATCCTGCCTTAGGCTCCGCGAGGGCGCCGGTTGATGTCCAGCTGTAGCTCGATGGTAGGGCGCACTGCGCTGCGGCACCTCCCACTAAGGCAAGCAATGCTGTGCAACATAGGGATCGATCAAGAACTTTCTTTGCAACTTTCATTGTGGACTCTGTATTCAATGACAAACAAGGGGAACAAAGGTGGATCAGAATGTTGTAGTAGTAACTTAAAACGACGACACCGGGTCAGATTTATAGCCCCAATATAGCCTTGATTTAATTATTCGTCTGTAGCGCCGGCTAAAACCCGAAAACCATTCAGCCGCGAATGTGTTTCATGTGTTCAATTATACCCATAGTAGTTGCATGGACACCTGAACTCATTGCCGACAGAAGTGCAAGCCACAGGAGCACATATCGGACATTTGCCTTGTTCGTTCATAGTGTACGTTTCATTTGGACTAAAACAATCCCCCCAGCCAACAGATCTGCAAGAGCTTCTGCACCCCGCCCTGTTGGACGTACCGTTCCTGGCCTCGAATTTGGTGAAAAGGCCCACCTAGGCCAAGGCCCTAATTGATCACATGACAACCAAAGGTCGCTATATTCTGATTACCCTTATGTAGGTTATTGCGTATCATTAAGGTAGTAGAATGAGGAAGATCAAAGAATCATTCTCAATATAACCTTTTAATATCTTGAAGCTTTTCAAAATGTATATCAATCTATATCCACTGGATTTCGTGGTGTTATAGGGTCGGGTTTGGGTCCAACATCCGGTCCGCGGGATTCAGGTCCTAAACCTGTCCTGTACCTACTGGACCCGTGGGTAACCGACGGGTTCGGACTACAAACCTGCCAATGAAACGGGTCAAGTCCAACCCACGGGAACTACCCGCGGGTTTTGGTGACGCTAGTTATAAATATAACAAAGTGGATTTATCATGGATACTAGACATGCCTTCTCCTATTTATTTTATTAGAGACATGCCCCCTCTGGAGCGCCTACTACGAGGTCGTGATCCCTACGCGCAGCTTTGCTTTTACCTTGGAGGAGCGCTGTACTATCAATATGCTATACTGTATAGGCCTGGAACCTATACAGTTAGCCTAGGACCCATAGACCTTATAGCGACTGTATAGTACCTACGACGCCAGCACTAGCTCAACTAGCGTAAATTTTGTAGAGGCCCAGGTCTGAACCACAATGGCCTATATCCATTTGAATAGTGTTATAGATACCTTTATCAGAGGGAGTAGTTTAGCGCTGCGCCATGGGAGGGGTTTGCATGGGGCATGAAACGTTGCTACGTCCATCCATGTAAGCGGACCAATTACGGACATTGCACATTTATCCTTCTGCGGTGCTTTGTTAATTTCCGACCCTGGTGATCCCATTGGGATGTTTTCCTTCTCAACAGTTAAGGGTAGGAATATATCCCAACTCCGGTGGAGGCAGTCTCACCAAGTCGAACTACTAGTAGCTACAGAGTACACATATTGTTCTTGACTACAGCTTAATCAGCAACAGAAATTTACTTCATGTGGCATTGTGGTTCATTTACTCTATCCCCCAAATTGCGCGACGATAAAACCTACTTCATAAAGTTGGTTGCATACTGACAAGGCACCCAGGCTTTCATTGGCACCATAGCTAGAAGAGCCTTTGTTTTCTCCTGTTTCCTTTTTTCATTTTGAATTCCATCTTGACGAAACCAGAGAATCTTCAAGGGCCATTATGAAGGTCGATCTTCTCTTCCTGGGGCCATTGATGAGCATGGCTACCAGAACAGTATCCCAGATCTCCAATCCAACCTTTTGGGAGGATTTTGCTGATCTCGATATCATTCGCGTCGATGATACATTCTACTATTCCGCCTCGAATATGCACTACTCGCCCGGTGCTCCAGTCCTTAGTTCATACGATCTTCTAAATTGGGAATTTGCTGGCCACTCCATTCCAGAGCTTACGTTCGGCCAAAATTATTACCTCGAAGGTGGCAACCACGCGTATATTCGCGGTACATGGGCTTCGACATTAAACTATCGACCAAGTACGTCCACATTCTACTGGATGGGCTGTATTGATGGTACCACATACATTTACACGGCCTCCAACGCAGAGGGCCCATGGACCCAAGCCTCAACGATCAATAAATGTTATTATGATTGTGGTCTGCTCATTACAGACGATGACAAAATGTATGTTGCCTACGGGAACAGTGGGATCTCCGTCGCCGAGCTCTCCGACGATGGGCTGAGCGAAGTGAGCTCCCAGATGGTCTTCCCTACGGACGATGCTGGATATCTGGAAGGATCTCGATTCTATCAACACGATGGGAACTTCTACATCTTTGTTGTTCATCCCGCCAATGAGGAACATGTGCTTATGTCGACCTCCGGTGTATTCGGTCCTTATGAGCGTCGCCTACTGATCTCTGATGCTGGCCATCCCGTCTCAGGGGCGGGATACCCACACCAGGGGGGTATTGTTGACACCCCGAATGGGGATTGGTACTACATGGCCTTTGTCGATGCCTATCCTGGAGGACGAATTCCCGTTCTCGCTCCTTTGGTCTGGGGAAGCGATGGCTGGCCTTCTGTGGAGTTGGTTGACGGTGAATGGAGCACAACATATGACGCGCTGAATATCACTCCCCCGTCTACCCCCATTTCATCCTTTGAACCATACACTGATGAATTCACGGGAGATAGCCTCTCACCACAATGGGAATGGAATCACAATCCCGACAATGACAAGTGGTCGATTAAAAATGGGGTCACTCTTACCACTGCCTCAGTAACCGATGACTTATACGCAGCGAAGAATACCTTAACCCATCGAATTCTAGGTCCCACCTCAACTGCCACCATCCATCTTAATACGAGTTCCATGTTCAGCGGTGACCGTGCGGGCCTTTCACTTCTCCGTCATTACTCCGCCTGGATTGGCGTAGTCAATGATGGAGGTACCTCTCACATTGGCGTTACCACGGGACTGGAGATGGACTCGGATTGGAATACCGTTTCTACAGGAACTGAGAGTGCTACAGCTGAGTTCTCTGGTAGTGAAATATGGCTTCGTGTCGAAGCAGATATCACTCCATACGCGGGCAGCGGCCAGTTCTCGTACAGTTTGGATGGTGTGACATTCACGAACTTGGGGGATATCTATGAATTGAACACTAACTGGGAGTTCTTCATGGGGTACCGCTTTGGTATCTTCAACTTTGCGACTACCGAGGCTGGAGGAAGTGTGGTGTTGAACTCGTTTGTCTTGTCGTGACTTACCACCCTTTTCCGTGCTACAAGCCAACTCTGTAGAATTTGGGACGTTATATCTGTGGAGACAGATTGTTTTCTCATAGTGCTATTATGTATTGTCTATAGTGTCCCTAGGTATCTGGAGAATGAACATCAGTCCATTTCTTTCTCCTCTTGCATCGATACTCGCTGAAAATATGTTTATACAAGAGGGACAAGGACCCGGCTTCCAGATTGCACTTAATGTGGGCACTCGGTGTGGGGACAAACGCATCAATTCCACTTCACGGCCTTTAGTTTGTCTCGGCATAAAGGGTCCGAGCACTGCAGAAAGATGGGTCCAAAAGCCAGTTATCTTCGTTACATTGGGCACTGAGAGCTAATGTTCGGCAAACGCAATCTTAAATTTGCCGACTCCAGGTCAATATAACCTGTCTGCCCATATACTTCATACAGAGCGGTCACTATTCCGACCCATCGGAAGTATACTTTGGAGGCAAAATGTAGAAACTGCTGCATATCTTCACGGATATATGCCGATCAATGCTGAAATCGATGAAACGCTGATTCGGTTGGGCCCCCCACTCCCCGGAATTTAGGCTATTTAAATATCTTCACGAAAACTGACAGGGTTCCTGCATGCGATGTCTCCAATGAGAACAAGTCTGAATCTCCGAGAATCAGCCTTATGATTCAGTGGCTTTGTGCCCCGCTTGGAGGTTGGCCTGTGCTGAAAGTTCGGAATAGGTTTGATTTCTAAGTGCCGGTTGTACAGGCTGGCAGCTGGTTCGCTCGTATGGTACCTAGTACCTACCCCTTTTCTCCATAGTGAAGTAATGCTAATCTATGCTACATACTGTGCACCACTTTCCCTCCCATCGACCGATATGTGCGGGGCGAGAAGCACTCTACGGAGTAGACCTCGCTACTGGTCGGGTTTGGGTCCAACATCAGGAGATATGCCCGACCCGCGGGTTCAGATCCTAAACCGGTACCTAAACCTATACACCCATGGATTAGGTGTATCAATCCATGGTTTACCTATAATATCAACCAAAATTGTATTTAGAGTGTATGAAAATAAATAGTTATTATGGATATGTTATTGCAGCCCGTATACTTCTGATATCTGGTCTATTTATTAATTCAAAAGTACCTACGAAGAACCCATGCGCTTAAGATCCAAACCTCTTCCTAACCCGCGGGTTTAGATCAGTGACCGAGAAACTACTAAGAACCAAGTCCGGTCAAACCCGCGGGTTTTGGCGAGGCCTAATGCTGTGCTGTCTTGCCGAGAGTCTCCCTAGCTAGTACCCCAGAATCACCTTCGAGGTTTTTTAGTAGGACGTAATAGACCTTCGTGAAACCTGGTGTGCGCCTCAAGGGTCCTTTAGCCGCCAACGGAGCCCCACAGCGTGATCCTGAATATCAAACAAAGCATCCATAGATTTCGTCCTAATGCAGCATACTGCGTCGTAGTACGCACTCTACGATATCCAAGTCTCCTTCTAGAGTTTCAATACTTCTGCCTAAATACCTCACTCCGCAGAAGGAATATCAAATCGGCCGCAAAATGCCTATATATACCTCCAGGCCAATAATCATAACATCCCCATAACACACCCAGTCTCTATCTATCTTGTTCCCAATCCAGAATGGTCCAACTTCCATCAATCGCTCGCTGTACACTCCTTGCGACTGCTGCATCGGCATATGTGACTAGCCGACAGGCAGCGCAGAGCGTTCACGATGCCTTCACCGCAGCTGGGAAGATGTATTTCGGGACTATCGCGGAGCAGGCTCTGCTGGAGAACCCCCAGAACGAACCCATCGTTGCTGCGAACTTTGGCGCTCTTACTTGCGAAAACAGCATGAAGTGGGATGCCACAGAGCGTATGTCTTTTCTATACTGCGACGGCATGGTTAACAATGCTGACCCCAAATAGCTACCCAGGGGGGCTACAACTTCGATGGAGCTGACTATGTTGTATGTTGTTGTTCTTAATTTCCTTTTGAGCTTTAATAATGGGATATAGGTCGATTATGCCGTGGAAAAAGGAAAGTTGCTTCGCGGACACACTCTTCGTACGTTTCACCCATCAAACACCCGTTCGAACAGATGTATTAAGGAAGACATCCCGCAGTCTGGCACTCTCAGCTCCCATCCTGGGTTTCCCAGATTAGTGACCCCGCCACCTTGACCAGCGTCATCCAAGACCACGTCACCACCGTGGTGACCCGCTGGCAGGGACAGATCTACGCTTGGGTATGGCACGTAGCATTCATCATGGATCAACTAATTAACAGTCATAGGATGTGGTGAACGAAATATTCGCTGAAGATGGGTCCCTTCGCGAGAGCGTGTTTTCAAACGTCCTTGGAGAGGACTTTGTCCGCATTGCCTTCGAAGCTGCCCGTGCTGCGGACCCCAACTGCAAGCTTTACATCAATGACTACAAGTGGGACATCATCACCCTAGGATATGTGACAGCATGCTAACTACATATTCTAGCCTGGATGACGCCTCCTACCCGAAGACCCAAGGGTTCGTGAGCAAAGTCGGTGAATGGATCGCTGCTGGAGTTCCCATTGATGGAATTGGTGAGTGGCTCGCATGGCTACCCAGCCACGCATAGTATAAACTAACCTCCTTTAGGCTCTCAGTCTCACTTCGGGTAAGATACTTGTAACTTAATAAAATAGATTGCATCCATACTAACCCCACATCCTAGTGCTGGAGGCTTCCCTACGTCCGGCGCCCAGGCAGCGCTTGAAGCGCTTGCATCGACTGGTGTTTCTGAAGTCGCCGTTACCGAGCTTGATATTGGAGGCGGTACTTCGGAAGATTGGGTAAATGTTAGTATACCTTTCCTTCTTGCTAGCTGAGCAGTACTTACAGGACAATCCAGGTCGTCAATGCGTGTCTGAACGTCGAGAACTGCATCGGGATTACTGTCTGGGGTGTGTCCGACAAGGTAATTAACTTCTTTCTCTTTCCACTAGATGTACAGTAGGGAGCTAACAACATCTAGGATTCCTGGCGCGCCGACGAAAGTCCCCTTTTGTTCGATGCGAATTACCAGCCAAAGGATGCTTACGGCGCTATAATCGCGGCACTCTAAGCTGAGCGTGATATCTATATTGGTTCTGCGACGGGCACAAGACCAGAATTGTGGTGGAAATTTATTCAGTTTCCAGTATGGGGCTGTCACTCATTCTGTTACCATAGTAGTGCTTGAATCCTGAACTATCAGACTATACACGATAAAACGTGTTATCCGACTTTGGAAATCTTTCGTAGCTTATTAAACATAGTAGTTCTAATTTCGCCAAATTATTTAGGCTGCCTATAATAGTACCCAATAGCGTTATCGATATATGGCAATCTGCTTTCTGCCCGACATTGGCCACCACCCTACATGCATACAAACAAATCCCAGAGCACCATTAATTGAATAGATGGACGGGCCCTTTCACCATACAGAATGTAGAAAAAATCTATAAAATCTAGATTCTTAACTATACAATACCAACAAAAACTGACACAGGTTTTCCGGATTCGGGGCAGGTCTAGCGAGTTCAAATGCCAACTCTAACAAGGAGTCAAGAGTAAATGAGAACAGTCATCATCAACCTCTCGCATACAATCTCATCCATACGATGCATTCGCAAAATACAAGAGTCCCTCTTATATCACTTTTCTCAGGAATCTGCAGTTCTCTAATTGGAATAGACTACAAATACCTATAACCCTTCCGGTACAACCCCCCTCATCCTCTCCAAAATCCCCATACTCCGTTCTCCCCCATCCTCTGGAATAACAAACCAAGCAGGCTTGCATTCTAAAAAGATATGCGCCTCTACTTTCTCCGGCACCTGGTCCTTAGATTTACTCTCATCGACAGTAACAGCCACAATGCCCACCTCGTTTGGTTTGGCATGGTAAACCATCGTCATGGGACTACGGCATTCACCACAGATTGTGCGAGTTGCATACTTGCTAAGATTGATTTCGACAAGACGGTCTGACCTGGTCCACCGGAAATGAGACGAATCCACGTTCGTGAATGCTGCGAAGGGAGAGCCGTGCAGGAGGCGGCACATGCGACAGTAGCAGTATGTTAACCCGTACAATGGGGCTGTTGTGGCATATGTTGTCTTTTGACAGTAGCAGCTTCCGTAGACGACGGGGTTTGTGGTGGAGGTTGACATGGTGTATTGTGCTGTGGGATGGTGCTTTTTCTGGCTCGTCGGGGTAAACAGGCTATCATGCAGAGTAGTGATACTATAGAGAAATATATTCTCAGGAATTTGCGTGATATCTCCTGCAGTGAAAGTAGAACCGTTCTCAGTTATGAATTTGTAAGCGAGGGGGGTTTATACGAAGTATGACATCATCGCCCAGAGACTGGTGGCATAGAAGGTGGGGAGGGGATTGGTCACCACTGCTGGTTTATAAGCAAATTAACTATAGATGTGCGGTGGTTATATAAGCGTCTTGAAACAAATCCTCAGCAAGGGCTGGCCAATTAGCTCGCCGAGGAGCCGGCCAAAGAAACCGTCCAAGAGCATATCAAGGAGCTCGTTGAAAAACCTATCAATCGTCAAACAGCCAGACAGAAAAAGGAAGCGAGAGAGGAAGCGCGAGGACAACGCGAGTGGGACAGTACAAAGGAAGAGACCCCGAGTAAGCTATCATGAGTAGCTCTAGGTACAGCATCTGATAATGAACGAAATTTCATATCCATCATCTGTCTTGATGTGTAAGGGTATCTAGATACTACTTTTTAATACGAATTGACAAGCTGAAGGAGTGCCGCCATCAGGCAAAGGCTGCTGTACAACGCCAAAGAAAAACCTCCTAAATTATTCAAAGAAAGCTGAGCGTTTTATCGTCTCCTAAAATAGTGAGTGAAGATCTATAAATCGGAAAAAGAACTAAAAGAGCCACAGATATCCCCATTTGCAATGGCGCCAGAGAAAAGTGCATGCATATAACCTGCGTGGGACATTCTCTTGAGCCTTCCTGCCCCAGAGCGCTCACAGGCATATGTCTTGTGCATCTTGTGGCCTCGAGTACACATTTTTCAGATTTATCCAACCTCCAAATCCAGATCTTCTTCGTCCGGTCCTTGTAGTCCTTGGGCCTGCCAACGCCACATCACTGCAGTGAAAAGCTTGACCTGATCCTTCTTTCCATAAATATGATGAATTTCAGCCATTTCTCCTTTTCCACGATGCGTCGTAGGATGCCTGGGTCCGATCCAATGTCACACGGGTCACTTGACGTCTCCCGAGCGTCAGGCAAGGCGATAATTGTTTGGAATTTGAGAGTCGACATCAGAGCTGTCTTGAAATACATGGCGTAGGCAATGTATGTAAGCAATATAGTTTGATACCGTTAATTTCCTAGCCAAAGTTTGCAGAATACTACTATCGCGACATTTATCCCTTCATCTTTATGCTGGCGGTAGAGTATATTAAATTTAGTAGGTTACCTATTTTTATCCCAGATCTTGCGTGTCCCTTAAAGCAGGCAAGTGAGGGAGTTACCTACTCGCACAAAGTGATATTGACTCCAGCACACGTCTCATTACGCACACATTCACCGTCTTTCATCTTATCCAAAACCTGCCCAAGCCGCTTCAACCCGCATTCCAACATTTTGAACGGATATGAAAACGTAATTCGGAACCATCCAAACCCTCCTTCAGCTAGGAAATTTCGCCCATCTCCAATATTAACACCATGACAGCGGCATGTTTCTAAAAAGCAAGTCACCATGTCATTATACTTTTGAGGTCCAATGCTTTCCGAAACATTGAGAACACGAGCCCAGACAAACAGACCAGCATTTCTGTTAGCCTATGTTAGTAAGTTTTGTCGAAAAGGATGAGAACAGTGAAAACTCACCCGCCACGGAAATAAGTGATATTCCTCCGATCAAGCCAAGACGTCACATTACTATAGGTTTGATTAAGGAGATTTCTGTTCTGGCTGAGGAGCTCATTCGTCTTGGTCTCATTTTGGAGGAGGCGGGCCCACATATCCTGGGCGAGGTAAGACGGCCATGAGAACAGGCTAACACATTGATAGCTCAGTATTAACCTCGGTGAGTTGACAAGGGGTTCGGCATACTTGACACCAGCAGCAGCCTGAATCAAATTCTGATTACGTGAATGCAGAGCACCAAGTCGAAGCCCACTTGCCCCAAAGTCCTTGCTCATCCCATACATAACATGGACGAGATTTGGGTCAATGATACCGCTCAAATTGAGCGACAGAACAGACGTGAAGAGGTTTTCATCAGGGAAAACAGAGTTGGCATAGATTTCATCTGAGATAAAGTGGATTCTGTGTCGACCGCAAAAGCTTGCTAATGTCATTAGAGCTTCTTTGGACTGGGAAACTTGTTAGACAAAGACCTGCGTTTTATCTGTGGTTCAAAGGAGAAAAGGACTAACATAACAACGTCCTAGTGGATTATGCGGACTATACCACAACTATCAGTTATCAAGACTTAAATGTATGTGAGGGAAGGGCGTACTTCGCAATAACAACACCCCGCACAGCTTTTCCCGAGTGCCGATTACTTTCCTCTAACGTCTTTTCTAGCGATCTATTTAACGATGTCGGATTAAATGCATCTTCCAGAGATACTGTCTCGTTGTCTCGCATGAAAGACGCAGGTAACAGTGTCCCATTGCTGCGCAGGCGCATATCGGTAGGAAATCCGTTATACAACGGTCGAGGAATAATGATCGCCTCGTTGTCACTACATATACGCCATGTTAATGAGTCAATTAATGAAGTAACACCCGATGCCACGATGAAGTCATATTCGGAGATGGGCTAGTTGGGTTTGAAGTGGGTTGTAAAAAATCCCGCAAGGGCTTTGCGAAGTGTAGGGGAGGCGGTTGCTCCCTGCCCGTACGTTAAGTGGGACAGAGGATCAATAGTGAACTGTTATAGAAAATAAGTTAGATTGTAAATTGAACAAGGAAAGAAAGAGGAAATAAAACATTATGCTGAAGATATTCCTTTAGTTTATCTTGAATTAGCCAATTTTCAGCAAGGCCTAGATTTATACTATTGTTCTTCACTCAGTAAAACATCCCCTGTGTGTAACAAGTCAAGACATACATTCCTCTAGGATGTGCCTTTGGATCATACGGTTTGGACAGTACAGTCTGGTTAAGGGTTCTCCAGCCAGTGCCATTAACATTAGCTTGCGATGCGCGAGGTGACAGATAGTCTTGTATGGGGTCCACGGCTTCAACATAAACGAAGCCTATGGAGATAACCAAGAGCAGTTGGTTCAGTATCCACATGCTGATGTAACCCAGGAAATTTGAAGTTATCTTAGTCGTATTCCTATGCCTTTGAAGGTTCAAGTTTGATGGCAACATAGAAAGCCTTTGATAATACAGGTCCTTAATATACATCAGACACATACACACGCCTTACCTAAACGTGTCTATGAATCAAACATTAGTATATGAACATGATGGCCACAACTATGTTTACACCCGCATGCGTTAGTAATAACGAGCCCAGACAAAGTTCAAAGTTTATTAGCCAGATTTCCTTTCTAACGGACTGATAGGAGCCAATACCGGACTTAGAAAGAGATACAGGTTGATGGTATAAACTATTATAGGGAACCATGGGTCCAACAGCGCAAACAGTGGTTATGGCGTCCAACAAGTTTGGCACCATAACGATTCCAACTTTTCCAATTAGTTCCTTATTCGTTAAAACTGACCCAGTTTAAGTTACTTTTGTCTTCATCTTGGATCACGATGACAATTGCAATCAATGAGCCGCTGGTAAGCGAGGCTCAATATCACTACAGTCGTGGTTTTTCGAATGTTTAAAAGCTGTAGAATTCTAAATGCATACATCATATTACTTCTACAAAGCCAACAATACGTTTACTTTTTGAGTCCTTCGTGTCTATTGACACTTGTGTTTTCTTTGTAAGCCGAGGACATATTCTTTGGATTATCAAGAGACGAGATAAGCTACTCCCAGCTACTGTCCCGATGAATATTGTTCACTCACAGTAAATAGTAGAATGGTGACACTGGGACATATATTTCGCTTTTCTTTTCTACTTTGCACCCGCTGGGTGAAACACAAATAATTTGGCTATCCTGGAAAGGATAAGGCTCTGGGTAGTAGGGTTACCCCTTCCTATCACCTTAACGAGCTTTTGGATTGATTGTATACTCTTGGTTGCATATTATTGGGAAGAACAAATGACATATTCCTTGGCGGAACCCAGTTACATCAAGCTTAACAATCCAATTCTAAGCCAACTACATAGAGGGGAAATTTGTTCTGCTCCTTGCCGGTTGTCTTCTTCAGATCGCAGCCGATCGATTTTACCTTACGGCCTTAGTTCTAGTTCAGCGCTGAATGACGTGCAGGCAGTGTCGGGCAGACATCCTTTGGGAACTCGGGCTTTATGATAATTCCATCTTGGGTAATAGCTTCTCCTTTCTTCACCGCCTCGATTTGATTGTCTGCGCACGTCGATGGTAAACCGCGCAAGTAGCATGTTGGCGATGGCATTGGCTCTGGTTTCAAGGTAGTGGTGGAGTTCCAGGGACCCTCCGTAGAGTAGTCTCTCGTGACAGGGATTCTCCCTGTGGCAATATCCTTCTTCTGCATAGCTCTGATAAAGATCTTGTAGGCGTCCTGAGGACGGTAGGCAGGGACCATGTGTCCCGACTGATAGACACGAGCAAATGAGAACAACCCATGTTGACGAACCTGGCCAACCGATGACGACCCGGTGGTAATATCTGCATACCCAGCCTGCCTAAACTTCCCAGATTGCTTATAGTCCACCGCCAGGCTGACGCGCTCCCCACCAATCCAGTTGCAGGCAAAGTCGCGATCGCCATGTATCAAGGATACCTGAATACCAGAACCCAGGAGACCTGCAATGTCTTCAAGATACCCCTTTGTGTCTCTTCGAGCGTAATCCCCCGTTAGGTTGAATGCCAATCCCACGGTATTTGATATATCAGTATAGTTGACTGGAACGCCCAATGCATCTCGCACTTTCTTAGTTGCCAAGTACTCCACAAAGAAGTTCTCTGGGAAAGGGTCCAAATAGCAGTGGGTAATGTCGTAAAACGCCCATTTCTTTCGGAAATTATAAGGTCCCTCAACTTCGTTTTGGCAAAAGTCGCTAGCACTTTCACATGCTTGGTTGACTTGTGTTCTATTCCCGTACATGTTTGGGTCAAAGGCATCGGCAAGGTGATGACATTCATGAATCTTATCCAGACAACCGCCATTCTGGGAATAGCTAATCAGGGCATCACTGAAGTTCTGACGAGTTATGCCCTCGATACCATATGGATTCCTGTCATACGCAAACTCTGGGTTGGATGTCTCCTGTGTCAGGAGATCAATACAGCCATTGATTATACCCAGTGTAGTCAGATTTATCGGTGTCGCCGCAAGTGACTTGTCAATTATGCGGCTGTTCTGCTGCTGTATATATGCCGCGAAGCTTGGCCCATAACGCCCACCATAAGACTCTGTCCAGATACTGATAGACTTGTCTGAGGTGGTATGATGCTTAAATTCGTCTGTCCAGAGCTGGAGGAAATTCCAGAAATGCCGTGCGGCGTTCTCCGTAGTGTTGGCCGTCGAGTTAACGTTCTGGCTGCTAAAATTTCCGGGAATCAGTGTATGTCCAAGCGGCCCGGAATAATTAGGAATGATGTTTCCTGTTGTCAAATTTAATACCCCAAGCGTCTGGATATCATAGCTAAATCCGGTCTGGACTGGCTGATCAAGATACAAAACATTGTACTCTTTGTTCCAAGCCCAGGGGTTGTCTCTCGTGGTAAGATTCCGGTTGACATGACAGGGTCCATTTTCTGTAAAGAGTCCGAACATAGACGAGGCTCCAGGTCCACCATTCATCCAGATAACCAGGGGGGCAATTTCCGCATTCTCTTTCGCCTTGAAATACCAGAAGAATGTGTTGATGGGATAGTCATGTTTAACCCCCTTCATTGAATTTGGCGGGAATCTAGCATAGCCGGCGTACGACTTAGCGCTGCCGCAGGTACCATCCTACATAGTTGGTGCAGCGAGATTAGCCATTCAGTCATGCATTGAAATTAGGTATATCAGTACTTGGATCGTGGACCGTGCATACAGGAACCTCTTTGGCGTCAATGTGGGCACCATCCTGATCAGTAGATAGTGCTAAGACATCCTCGGCCTCGGGCGCATAGTGTGCTCTGGCCAGAAAAGAGGATAATGTAAGTGCGAGGAGCGAGAGTAGACGCATGGCTCAGTATACAAGGGTTCCAGCAACACCCTAGGCTATATGAGAAGAACTATCGTTATATAAGATCTGGTGAGGTCAATCCGGTACTCTGCGATACGCGAATCATAAGTTGGCTATGTAGAAGATATGTGTATGAAGGCGAAGATATAGCTTTCCAACCTGCTTTACCTCCACTGGCCATGGTACGTCGGCCTGGCTATGATACCATTTCTAGACCGGGAGGGTCGGGACACACCATCGGACTATGCAACGCAGGTTACTGGGGGCTTCTGGGATACCCGTCAAGATTGGCCGTTACACAAGCTTGACATTCCGCCCTGCGGGTCCTTCGGTACCAACACAAGATATATCGTGGACGCATGCGGAAGTTCCCACTAGATACTATTAAGTGGGTTCTGCAATAATGTGTTGCATCAGGTGGTTTATAACCTAGGTCTGCTACATAATATGATTCATTCATCTTGTGAGCATATTGACAGTTATACTATTCTACAGAGACAGATACCTGATTTACTTACTAGTGAGGTGATAACTAGATATATGTCCATACAATACTACAAATTAAATCCTGTCAGCAGTACGGGGAGTTTGATTCGCGAATTATGCAATTGGTAGCAAGGGTTGGAGAGAAAGAAAGTAACAATTCTTCCGATCTTATCGCCTAGACTATGAATAAATCTGCACTCTCTCCGTCATAGAAAGCAACACCCATGTTAGCATCTCTCTAGGTGAAATCTATTACTTCAGAGCATTGCATTCTTCAGGCCTTGTAGAGAGAGAAGGATTAAATTGCTCATGAAAGCCTCTGTCCCGGAAGAAGAAGCAGAGGAATGGTTAAACGTAAAACATGTCCAGTGTTAGGTATGTATTCAAGTCCGATCGAAGCTTCGCCTTATTTACTACCTTTGGTGGGCGAGGTGTTTCAGCCTAACCCTAGAAGCCGATAAGCCTCCCAAAATACGAATATACATACACCTACTCTCTTCTTAGTGTGTTCTTTATTGTCATTACCAGCCTTTTGTTTTTTGTCTTCTATTTGCATCAGCTACAATTCTTGGTAATATATAGAATTATCTTGAAAGTTGAATTATGTTAGAGTCACGTATATTCCTCTCTGATGGGGATATCGCCCGTGTCTGCCACACCTCTCTTATCGGAACCAATGCCATATATCTAAAGGAACCTGTACCGTTCTGAAACTATAGCCTCGAAATATAGCGGCTCCCTTTCATTGGCTGGTCCACTGTGCAGGTTGATCCCACCAGTTGTGCATTGAAGTTTGTGCCGCAGTGCACTCACCACTGCTCAGGTGGTGCGAGTACCAGCCATCAATGAACAGGACTGTACCCCCCAACTTTGAGACGTCACGGGTGGCCTGTTCAACTACACGATATTGTTGACGCGCGGACCCCATGCCTTGGGGGTTAGAAATTGGTTTGACATGACCATGCAACATAAATGCAATCATTGTTTCAAAAGGGGTTTCTAAAATTACTCATTGCAACTCTCCATTTTAAAGCCAAGAACTAGCCAAACCTTGTGCGCCTGTGGCTACCGAAACAGGGAATAGTTATACTACGGGGTTGGGCGTCTTCTGGCAAACATCGCGTCGACATGGACGAACATTGTAAAAGGTCATGTATCTCATGAAAGGCTACTAAACGAGCTCCGTCGACGCTTCGGATTTGGAGGGTTCAGATCCCAATCTCCAATATGATGCTTCACATTGGTCGCCCATTCATCGCTCCATATGCCATGGACCACTACAGAAGGCTGACTACATACGCTGCAAAGTGCCAACCATGTTCTCAGTGCCATGCAAACATGGGTGAGCCGTATCGCTAACCTTTGCAACAGTACTCTGCTCTCACGACTACAGTTTCGAGCCAATACGGCTGTCGCAACTACCATGAATTGTTTAGGCGCAGAATGCTATTTGCATACATCATCTGGTAGTACAACTCAACTTTAAAGGCAGCAGACAGAAATTAATCGTTCTGTGTTGACGTCGTGTACATCGTAGGGAGATAATATTAGAAAATGAGAAGCTCAATGTGTCGCGATAACGGAGATTATTGTGGGGTGTCAAGTTCCATCCACCATGTTGCCAGCTGCATGCTTTAGGACGGTTACGCTCAGGTTCAGTGGGTCCCATGAGTGATGACGCTCTGTAGGCCCGCGAATACCCGAGAATATCCACGTGGACTTATCATTCCCATTGCTCGTACGGGTCAATTCATCATGATGATTAGCTTTTCCGATATTGTCAACATTCCGTTGTGCGCTTTTTTTATACCATGGCTTTCTCTTTTGTGCCGTACCAGAACGTGCATCAAAACATTGGAGGGTACTAAGTCCTCCGCTAAACTTTCCAATCTGAGAGGAATGAGTGGGCCGTGGAAAAGAACTCCTCGGGGTTCCATAGTCTCATGGCTGCATTTGGTAGTAGACTACGACGCGTCGGTCTTCCCTGTATCGACTTATCGACAGATGGAAGGGCAAAAGGACATGTTCTCAACCCACTTATATCCCGCTGAGGTTATATTTTACCACTTCTGGGAATCCTCTGATGATGGGCTAGGCATGTCCTTGACATAGTAACTTGTTACTACTAACGTATACATCCTGAGCAATGGCATCTCATGTGGGCCCTCCACCTTTGGATACGTTCTTAATAGAAATGGAATGCCGTAGCTGGAGCAATTATAACACAGGATTGATTGGTACTGTACAAATCACCACAATGCAAGACGGCATTAATGGTGCCAGAAGATATCTATGATGATTTTGAGTAACCCGACAAAGTCAATTTAAGGTTACTGCTGAAACTTAATGTCTACGGAGGCCTATAGCGGCCACTCCGCAACAACGGATTCTTATCGATTTCTGCCCGCAGAATTCCCATGATAACCCTGAGTATTTAGTATTTCTGTACTTATACCAAAGAAACTAGTACAAATACTGAGAAATGTATGTATTTTATACATTTCTCTACAAAGCCTGGCTTTTTCAAATAAAAATTACTGGGAAATAGCTCGATATTATATGTATAATGGGTTGTATTGCTAGACGTAGACCTACAGTTAATATTAAATACTGTGTGGCCTCCGAATCTAGGCACTACGGCCCCTAAAATCTACGTACTCTGGCCCCTAAGTCTAGATATTGTAGCCCCTAACCTTTATATATTACGGCCCTTAAATTAAGCTTAGTAAAAAGGCGGTAGGTTAACAAGAATTTTCTTCAGATTCACTTTATATATACAGTATATCTGTATTACACTGACATTTCTCTTCAGTATTTCTACTTATATATTATTAGAAAAAATCGCCCGATTTCCCTCATCCCTATGCCTGATCCTCTGCCTCATTCAATCGCATAAATCGCCCGATTTCCCTTATCCCTACGCCTGATCTTCCGCTCGAAGAGATAAGATAAAATCGCCTCTTTCGCTATGTTTTTATTATTCTAGGGAACCCGTCAACGCATTAGCATATCTTCTAGCCGGAATCCTAGCTAGCAAGAGGTATGTAGGGGGCTTGGCTAGCTCTCTAGAATACTGCCAACATAATCCACAGCCACGGGATAGGGCCTAGAGTTGATATCGGGTCGGGTTCGGGTCCAAAAACTAGGAACAGGACCTTATTTAATACACATCAATAATTCATTGAAGCCACTCTGGACCGGGGGTATATATGTGAAGTGTCTTAGTCCGAGATGCTTGCTAGTCCACCTTCCTCAGAATATTATCTCAAGATGCGTAGATAAATATGCAGAATTTAGGCCAGCCGATCATCATTTTACAGCGCCTATCGCTTTAGGTGTATTGCGTACCATAATTGAGTTCTTCCACCCGGCTAAGCTAAATGGTACGTCATTATGGTAGTAAGCCATTCGTTATCCAGTATTCCCTCCCCCATGTTCACGGAGCTCTCTTCATTTGTACTATAACAATAGAGACAACATAGTACTACTTGAATCTTGAACATCAGACTTTACACGAGAAGACCTATTCTCCGACTTTGGAAACCTTTTGTACCTTATTAAACATAGTAATTCAAGCTTCGCCAAATTATTTACACTCTCTCTTGTAATACTAAACAGTGAGCAGTATACTACAATCTATGTTTTGTCCGACATTGACCACTATCCTACTTGCATATAAATAGATCCCGGAGCACCCCAAATCAAATAGATATAAGGGCTCCTTAAGTATATCTTAGTGGACGGGAGGAGAGCTCTCATCAGTATATGTTTGATTTCTAGCTCGCTATCTAAGCTCGCTCCTACTAGCTTTCTAAACATTGTGGGCCCGCTTATCCGCCCCGGGGGAACCCATGTCTCCGGGCCCTAGGGCCAGACGGAAGGCTCTACCAACAGTATATACAATTAGGCTAGCAATATGGCTTTAGCGTATAGTAAACTAATAGACTATAAAGCAGCTATGCGAGCAAGATCTATTATATTTAAAATACTAAGAAAATATATATATAAATTATAATAGGATAAATGGTTTAAAATCTAAATTCTCTATATCGCTAGAATCTATATAATATAGTAGGTAATCTGTTAGGCTATCAGCACAGTGGTGTATATATTGCGTGAGGCAACAGCCTTCACAATTAAATAATATAATAGTAAGATAAAGAAGTAAAATGTAAAATTAATAATTAAAGTGGTAAAAAGAGATTAGTAACTATACTTTAGTAAAAAAAAAAAAGAGCGGGAGTTGATACATTAGTATATGTACAGCATGACAGGTATATATGGGAATACTAAAATGGAGCCAATTAGCGGATAAAGAACTGGTGTGTACGTACAGTTGGCTCCCCCAGGTACTAGGGTATAGGATCTGAATACACTCAGTCGAGCACCCAGCGCGGCGCTCGCGACAGGGTAATGATTTGCTTGGACCTTAGGCTACCCTTGCTACATGACTTCAGAGAGTGGGGTGGATACAACTCGAAAGGTAATATGGATTGGTAGTTTTCTATATTGTATGTTATAAACTCAAGTTGTTGAAACTAGTAGAGCAAAATAAACCAATATGATGAAGAATATAAACAGAAAAAGACACCAATTTCAAACTTGATATAGTTGTTGAAACCTTTACGAGAGATTCTTCTACACAGGGCTAGGACTTGTACTGCGTCAGTATCCTAATGTGTGAAGATAGTCCTGGGCACGACCGGTGCAATTTTCAAAACGCTTGATGTTCGTCTTCTCATCCTTACTTTGCACTGTCACTGGTCTTAAGTGAGATATTCCCGTCCATACCTGGCCTGTTTGTTGAAATTCATTGGCATGAATCTCAATATCAAGTAAAGTGTTTGCAACCCCGTCCCTTTCATAGTTGCCGACTGTCCAGTAATCGTTATAGGCGTCCAGTTTGAACCAGACATCCGCTTCGAAATTATACACCTTTTGATATATATAGATAGATGAATGAGGGTTTACGGTATATGTCTGTTTGCTTTGAGTTGTTGCAGTTGTCTCCTCCTCGATGAATTTCTTCTGCTCTACACCAGCTTCTGTCGTAGCTGTAATGCCCATATTCGAGAACCCTGCGCTCACCCCGAACCTTTCAAGATTCTCCTGTCCAGTTCTGGTTCTCAGGGTTGTAGTCATTGTATTTGTCTGGGTGAAAGTGTTGTCGCTGGTGTTTTCGTAGGACCACTTAAGCATCCATTCATAGTCAAGGAGGCGGATATCGATAATCTTATATAGGGCTTCGCGTCCCGCATGAAAATATATAGTAGATTTCTGGGATTTAACCAGATTATCACCATTAGTCATAGAACGTTGGTACCTTGACCCTGCCATCTTATCTAGTGTCAGAGATACTAAGCTAACCAGCAAAGACTCGAGCGGTTTACCTTAAGAAATGGAAGGCGAAGTGGTCTATCGATACTATTTGTCTTGTTCCTTAGCTCAAGGGGTGGCTGCTTGCTAGAAGAAAGGGTTAATAGACATCGATAATTTATTCAAGCCAGTCTAAACAGAGAATATATGTACACAGGGTCTTAAGTCTGGGATATTTGCTTGTCCAGCTTCCTCAAATCATCGAGTCAAGGAGGGTGGGTGAATATGCAGGATCCAAGCTAGCCTATCATCATTTTGCAGTGTCTACCGCTTTAGGTGTATTGCATACCATAATTGATATCTTCCACCCGGCTAAGCTAAAGGTGCGTCATCCACCGAGCTTTTGCAGTTTTACTATGACAATAGAGACAATACTTGTTTGCCTCTGTGATATAATGGGTTGGCTTTGTGTTATATGAGCCAACTGCATGAGTTCTAGAGGCTCTGGAACAAGCTAGATGGCTACCCCAAGGCTTAAACCCATAGCCTTCCCGCAGAGATCAAAACACCTCTTTAGATGCCTCAGCGAGTCTCCTATCCAGCCCCCCCGGGGCAACGATAGCAGACCTGACAGCCGCACCGATTGAGCTAAATAATCCCCAGATTAGAACGACAGCAGCAATCCCTTAATACGTCACGGACCATGATCGCTCAGATCCTCAATTCTGGCGTATGTTCGGTGGCATAATTGGTGTTCGAATTAAGTGAGGTTTTTGGTCACGTCCAAGATGAGTGGGCTGATTCACTCGCCTGTGTAATACGTTCTCTACGGGTACCATTCGTAGACAAAAGAGCCCTGCATGCATTGTGTTATCACGCCACTACCAGTGGTAAACCTCTCGCATATAAATGATATGTGCTGGTCATCAGTATGTTGGTAGGTATCCGTGCTTGGGTTGATATCGTATGAAGCAACTGGCAATCAGAACGGGTAAGTCATACCATCTTGGGATTGGTCTAGCCTAGTTAAAGTTTATCCTTGAGCTTTCGCGTGCAACGGAATCGCTTGATTTCTAACGGTTGTGGCGAATTACGAGGACTAGGGTGTTACTATTTTCAGTTACAGACACATCTATTACAAGACTACAATAATATGTTTTCGATAAGGATTTCACAAGTAGATCTAACCTTACCCATATAAAGCGTGTTCAAAGCGTGGCATATAGCACTGTGCAGAAGCATTTCCGAAAGCGCTATATCCTTGGTTCACGGGTCCATGGTACTCTGCGGATAGTTTACTCCGGAGTATGACATAGGGTACCATGATAGTTCTTTTTGGAATCTCCGGAAATAGTAACAGATAATTCTGCATAAACGAAAGCGGCGTCTTGTATTGCATGTTTATGGGCGTGTTACACCAATTTATGGATATAAGCTCATTCTCAGGTTATAGAAAGGACTTGTCTCTTTGTCTAGCCCATAAAAGAACGGTAGAGACGTAATATAGGCAATCATGACCTTTGAATCAGATGCTTCCCTTTTTCCTATTGGCATAGATAGGGTTCCAGCGCTCTAAACATACGTCTTCATGATATATCCATGAATTTAATCTGGTCATATGATGCGACAGACAGTTCTGATGAAGAAAAGAGCAGCATAAGCTATTGGGAGGTTTTCTGCTTCTTTTACACAGAATCATGTTACTGTATACTTCCGATACATTCCGGCCAAGTCTTACCCCATCGAAACCTATATAAAGGCGCAACATGCTAATGTATCCCATCGCTTGATCTCCCATCTTTCATGATTCTAATATTTGATAATCAAGGTCATACCATACAGCAAAGACCAATCCTTTTATACCCCCTAAAAAATTTCCATAAGACACCATGGCTCATATCCTAGCCTTGGAGAAGGACGGACCATATGGTGGCCTTGGGGGCAGTGCCTATGACCTGAGAGACCACGAACATAAAATAAAGCATATTGACGCCTGGGAGGCGGACTGGCAGGGTTACCCTGTCCTCGGTGCACTCAGATTTCGTTTTGACAATGGCCACGAAAGCGGGCGTATTGGGGGCAGAGATCCTCACACCAATTATCGCCCCACTTCTTTCGAATTTCAGGATGGTGAAAAAATAAATCACATGACCGTCTTTGCGGGAGACAACGACGGCTTTTTCAACGGGTTCGAGTTCCACACAAACAAAAACCGCAACTGGCATGTTGGGGGAAGAGAGGGCAAAGTAACGCAAGTGCCACACCTTGGTAACGGTGAATGGGCTGGGGCTACAGGCAGAGATGACCGCCATGGTGCTGATGCCGTTGTGGATAGCATGTGTCTCTACTTCAAGAAGTAAAGAGATATGTCATATTCTTGGATTACTGAATCAGAATCAGAATTATATCGCTGAGGATCTAGTACAGAGTGTTGAATATAATGTGTTTGATAAGGTGAATACATGGCATAAATGCCAACATTGTCACTCGGGTATGGAGGTTAACATCCAGATTTTCTCCACTACGTAAGGACCTTGCCTATTGCTGGGAAAATTACACGGTAGATCCACATTAAAATAAAATTAACTTATTCGCCTCTAATATCTCTATGCTCTCGTGGTTTCACAAGTATCACGAAATCGATGAGCCAGCGTCTAGAGGTTACTATAATTTTAATAGTTCGTTGTTCTTGGTTTGATGGGATAGGGCCTAGATTATAACCTTTTCCAGGCTAAGCTTCCAAATTGATCCCAGGAATCCTGTCGAAAAAGAAGCAAAAAAAAGAAAAAGAAAAAGATAAGAAAAAACCTTCTGTTAACTCGTTCCATCAACGGAAACTTCTATCCATCAAATTATCACAAGAAGGAGGACGTCCACAGCAGGCAAATCCTGCTTGATGTTGAACCCCTTCTGACCCAGAAGCCACGCACTGCACTTATAGCTTTCCCTCGAGCCAAGGGGTATCCGGCAGTCAACCTGCGCAGAGGGTAGTACCGAAGCAATACTATCGCGATCATATATGGCCTCCAACATTAACAGATTCCATTTACCGTCTACTTTCTGCAGGCGAGAGATGAAGCGTGTAAATGAATTGCAGTCATACTGTTGTCCTTCATAGGAAAAGGGAATCGAGATAGACCCCGTTGATCCAGTGACAGCTTTGTCTCCCATCAGGTGGACTTCAATGGGACAAATTGTGTGAACTGTACCCGTTCCACGTGAAGTCATGGATTGCGAGCCATTCACAAACCCATCAACATCTCCTTGGAACCTGCGGAAGACGTCGAAACAAGAATCAGAGAAGGGGATCGGAGTTGAGCTATGCTTACCAGGTAATCTCGATATGTGTTTTCGAGGGATTCGGATGGTAGCTGTTGCGAAGCTTTTGCCATTGGTTGGTATCTCGATTATATCGCTCTTTAAAGAGCAGGTATTTGATGGAAAGTTCATCTGAAACCTCCGTGGTTGCCCAAGTCATTACCTCGTCTTTGCTCTAGAGCGGCTTGATGTGCTATACGGCAAAACTTGAGTAGGCGTTGACGAAGAAAATAGAACCTCAACTCACAACCGAATGAAGAGAACGGAACAGAAGTCACTTTATAAATCTGGCAGCTAAATTGGATCATTCCTCGGCTTTACGGATGTTGACGTCTAAATCCGTCTGGCATAAGCGGCGGAGTGGGTGTTAAATGTCCGACCCAAAACAGTCGGTTCATGGCATCTTGATACTCATGGTAACTCGGCCCCTGGGCGGAGAAGAAATCGACGCCATAGCTGACTGCCTCTACGGCAAATAATTGGAAATAATGCAAGTTGGTTTAACTTCATGCTGCGATTAGGAAATTCGCTCAACTTTGACTATCATCGTCCGACCAGCGTGGAAGGTACCGCATCTCGGCTTTCCGACAAGAGACCTTGGGAAACTGCACACTCGCAGGGGAATCCAAAACACCTGTACAACCAATTCGTACCCTGGAAGCTCATTTCAATACAAGGGGTGGCCATAGGAACTATCCCACATTCAACGCGTGGGCTACCTGGGAAGGCTGAATTGTATCGTTCCACAGCATCCCTGGTAGACACCCAAAGTCCATGAAAGTCTCCTAGTCCGTACATCAAAGGAATCCGTATCGCTGTAGAGTACTTACTACATTGCTCTAGCCAGATGAGATTGATGTCGTGAAGTTCAGCCGAAGGCACTGGCTTGTTTAAGCGCTCGGTGTGAAGGCACACGGCTGGATCCACTAGGGCTTTGTGAGGGAGCTGGAGCATCACAACATCCTTCGCCTTGGTGTCAAAGAGAATGGGATCCGTTTGGCTACAGAGTAATTGGATCATTTGTTGTCTGGATTGTACCACATGTTCGACACCGATGCCCGAAGTGATCAGCCCTGCTAGAGGATACCCCTCCGTCCCAATGTGACAGCCAGCTGCGACGGTGGCCACCATATCCCCGATTAAGTGCGCAAGTAGAACAACACTCGTGGCACCACTCAGTGAGCCGAATTTCTTCCAGATTGCTGGCAAGATTGTCGTGTTTAGATACAGCCCCTGTTGTTCCCCAGTGGATCTGCCATCAGCAATGGCTGCCAGAGAGGTACTTCCACCGTAGCTGGGCCTACTGATTGAAATCATGGGGACTTCTAAAGCTTGTGAGACACGCGCAACAGAGTGCTGTAAGTCAATATCAAAGTACTCTGCATCATAGCTGCCTCCGTGCACGCAGACCAACAAGGGCAAGTATCTTCCGACATTAGATGTCTGCTGAGGTGCTTATACACGGCCAGCCAGGTTGTTGCCATCAGGCAATTGGAGATCCAAAGGTTGCATCATGACGAGACCAGGAGGTTGGCAAGCTACCCCCGCAACAGTGATGTTGGGTTCTTTGTGAATAGAAGTGCAGCAGCCCGGGGCCAAAAGGATACTTTGCCAACATTAAGACTGAGCTGAGAGTAGCAAGAAAGAGGCTAGGAACCGTGAATGGTGGGGATGATACCAAACAATCTGATTTTAGAACTTGACCTCGGACTTCCGGCAATACGTGGAGTAGCCAGACCGTTTCTCGTTCTCCACTTTCTCTCATGGGCTTTACGTGAATTGAGGCTCGGAATTACGGATGGTGAATGTAGTTTGACGAATGGGATAGGAAGTGGGGTTACGGACGACGATCTCCTGCGATAACAGCTTCACCCACTTGATCGTCAGTGTGCCACTTCTAAATCGCCCAGCTTGCAGCGTTTCTTCAGGTAATTATCTCTCTGCGGTTGGAGATGGCAAGCAGAGTACTTTGTAGGGGTGGGTCTCCTGGAAAACCGTAGAGAGTTCTGGTGACCAGTTTTCGGGTAGGCAAACGACTCTTTCCAGAATTCCGACCCCGAATCGAGGCCGAGAAACAAATTATCCGAAAGCCCCCGAAGGTTGTACAAACCGGGCCGATCAAAACTGGCATGGCGGATGTCATCGATGGATTCTAGTATCACACATGTTCTGGCAGATTGTCCTTCGTCCAGGGGCCCGCAGTGAGAGCTTCGGGAGAAAGATGACGAAGCAGTGAGTAGTTTGTCAATCCTGTTGGGAGGGCCCGGGGAAAAAAGAAGAGGTAAACTCTATTATGCTTCTTCTGCCACAACGGTGGAAGCCGTGCTGAGCTTCATGGAAGCATATATGCTGTTCTAAAGGCGTACCACATGAGGGCAAGATATGAAGAATGGCGAGGTTCTCCAAGCTCGTTTAAGAAGGGTACACGAGACATGTACATATAAGAATATACGTAGTTGCGGTAGCCTGTACATTGCTTTTTGTAAGGGTGGGTAAATGAGTTCAACCAGCCAGCCAGCCGACTGTACTAGCTAGCTTATAAACTTTGATCGTTTCTTGAGCCCTTGATTGCCACTGGCCATTCTTAGGGCGAAGGTGCGTATTATTAACACGCTGGAGCGACTCCTCAAAGTGCGTGGCAGTAATACCACACCAATGTGAAGCATCGGGATTATCTCACTAGTGATCTTCGGATTAGCTACGAAAGTGCCCTTGTAATACTCCAATAGTTCAGGAGAAGTGCTCCAAAGCCCATCAAACGCAGTCAAGGCAATATTCCTGTTTTAAACTAATACAACTACTTGAGTGCCAAGGAGACGCAAGCGCGGCCTTCTCCACGGCTCCGTCGGAGCATGACATGAGAAAATGAGTTACAGCAATTTAGCGACGTTCACAGGAAAGAGATTAACTAATCCAATACTTCTTACCAAGAGCCCTAAGATATCAACTATAGTCGGCTACCCTGCTGAAGCATTTTCAGTACGGTCTTGCTGCGCGGCCCTGCCAGTCCTCTATCGTCAGTCGGGAGCCTCTGTGAAGCAAAGGCCAGAAATACTGCTTCCCAGTGTCCGTCGTTGAACTGGAACAGCAGAGCTCCATCTGAGTAGACACCGTTATCAAACCGAGGAAGACTGCCCTGGTTCATATGAACATTATGGATTCCAGATCCAAATGACGAACCAAAAATATAAATAGTTGCGGAGTTGTCGATAGCATTATCAAGAATGGGCCTCATCTTGTCCAGGATATCATTGTCACGGCCCGGGATATCGTCCGGCAAGACCAGTGCAGACTTGAAATCCAGAAGGCTGTTCATGCGATAAAGGTCAATACCGTGTATATCAGGGTCTTCTGAACGATGGTGTCTGTAACGATAATGGTGGAAATCCTGGATTAGATAAAAGCCAGGGTCCAGGTTCGAGAGGCTGTCCTTGATGGAATGGGTGAAGTTGTCAGAAGACCAAAATACGAGGCGAGACTCTGCACCATTAGACTTGATATTGATTGCAGCCCTCCGCTCACTGGAGGAGTCATCGGTAAAGAAGAGCTGGATGTGTGGAGTGGGATCGTACGGTCCATCAACAGTATACCTAGTGGGTTTAGCAGCCCAGACGCCGTAGTGGGGGACAGGCATCTTCTTTAAATCGAAATCAGTCGAAGTTCGAGATAGGACGCCGTTTTGAAAAGAATGGTGGCTGTAGTCTACAAGGTCTGACTTGTCTTGCTTTGGCCCTGTGGGCGTTGCTACTTATGCTTCTAGTCAGAGCCAGCGTAGGTTATCCGAACAATAGAATATTCCACCGTTACTGGCTGGTTTCATAAAATAAACTTCTTAGTTATATCACGCCATTAGACAAGGCCCTTCATATAAAATTGCCAAGCCGGGACTCAGACAAGTGATCAGTGCGGATAGATCTTATGATCTATAGAACCTAGTGGTCTAGGCCCTGACTGGGCATATGGGAGCCGTTTGCGGATAACAACCAAAGCAAGAGGTCCATGCCGCACAATTAAGCTTTACATTATTTTATCTTGGCATCGGATTAACACAAGCTTTGAATCGGTTCTAGCTTTGGTTATTAGGAAAATGATAGTCAGCTGAGACAAGGGTAAAAGTAGGTTCGAAGGACCTTCAAGGTATCGTGCTCCTATTGGAGGAGGCAAGTAGTATGTATGAACGTGAGTGAAAGAAGCGAGTAGATACCAAATCCCAATCCGCGAAGATACGAGGGGGCCAGTTTCCAACAACCATGGGATTAGGTGCTGGGAAGGTGGGAGCATTCCCCAACACCCATGATTTACCCATGATGTATTGAACTTTTGATGGTTAATGTGATTTCCGGAGACCTGTCACATAGGGCCTGCTGCCACGTTTCCATTTTTCGTAAAAGAAGTTAGCCCAATATAACGCTGAGAGCAGAATCAATGTTGACAATAGACTGATCTAGTGCAGTTAATGTTTAGCCTATTTTTATTCTCCCTGGCTGGATTGGTACACCCGGTGTTCAAGCTGTCTATAGAGTGACATAGCCCGACCTAGCTAACCTAACCATGATCTAAGCCAACGAAATACGTATACTTCGGCAGAGCCCGTTCAAACTCGAACCCAACCCACCTGTCAAGCGTTTTAGCCTCCTAACCATAACCCATAATCGATATGGGTTACAACCCGGCGATAGGCCGGGCACACAAGGAATAATATCACGATTGCATTAACCAGTCAGTGTCAGGGTGAACAAAAAAAGAAGAAAAGTTGTAGAAGAGGATTAGAGTTGATATCGGGTCGGGTGTGGGTTTTTGATAAATAAACCTAGTCGACTAAGTCGATGAAAAGTAGCCAAGAAGGTGACTAAAGATGATAGGTTTAGTAACATTATAAGAATATACTGGCTGGTGATTCAACCCCCACGGCCCCTTTGCTATTGATGTCAATGTTTGAACGCTGTAGGGGGAATGGTTCACAGTGTCATATACATTTTGCTAGTTAAGCCTTAATACAAGCATCAAGTACATATGCAGACAGTCGGCGTCCCTGAAGCAATTATCAATGCCTCTCCCGTTGTGTTTAGCACCGCTATCTGGGCATCCTCTAGTTGAATTAGGATGCTGAGGCCGTCTCTGGTCGGGACCGGGAATTGCAACTTAAATACGTCGAATTCCCAATCTCCTAGAATGCCCACTATAAAATTTGACACTTGTTTATAAAGTCCATTGTAAACTTTCAAAACCATGTTGTTTAAGTTATTTATCCAGTCTGAGACGCCAGTAATTTGCTGTTCAAGAGTAAGGTTATCTATTCTCTGTATTCTCATACAGAGCCGCTCATCTTTGATGGTTGCATAGAGCGTTAGGTCAGCTATGCCTTTTAGCTGCGATTCTTGGCTGTAAGGTTGTGTGACCTTAGTTGTTGCTTCTATAGCTAAACGAGCCGACTAGAAAAAGTGATCAGAGTACTGTTTACTGCAGGCTTATGGTCAAACTTACCACATTCCTCGAACTGTCATCCATAATGCTAACGTTTGAAATTGGTCCAAAGTTGAAATGCGTCCTAGCATTATAGGCATTTAAGAGGTTAAACTCCTTATCTATTTTGATCTTTGAAATAGCCTGATTTCCAGCCATGGTAAGGAGAGCTGCATCTGCTCCAATAAATGCACCAGCCGGCATATTACAAAAACGGATTGCCAAGCTTAGAGGTGTCCTACCACTGGCAGCACATACGATAAGTTGATCATTCTGGCTTATGATACCTTTGGTAATGTTAATAGAATATTCTTTATAACCATGTAGACAGAAAGGATCACCCACGCTGAATGTCAAATTTCAGTCCCTTGATGGAAGATAATTGCGGAACATGGCATGGCTTTTCCTGTTTGACGGGATTGTTTAAAGTTGTTCTCTTGCTCCAAGGGATCGTACAAACCTTATTGATGTAGTCCATTAGAACAGGGAGGACCAAACTATTTATAATAGAATCAATGGAATCAGCTGTATCTGTATTGGAAGTGAAGATGCCATGAAGTGTTTCTATCTTTAGTGTTGAACCTTGTGGGTCTGCATTCAGTGTGGCCGATGCAGTGAGACTTAGTGCACCTTGTCGAAGTGTTGAAGTAGTGTTCTTATGTGGCTGGTCATAGGAGAGTAATACTGTAATGCTAGGAACCCAAATTTTGAATATGACTGGGCAAGGTGGGACAACTGTACTCTACATCTGTTTAGTACCAGTGCTATTGTATGGATATCAGGGTAACTAACATTGACCAAGTCCACTGAAGGAGCCTCATCAATACTTATAGATACTGTTGTTGTTGTGCCTATCACTTTTCTTGGGGGTACTTTTAAAATTCCTGTTGGGTGCAGACACTTGAAGAGTTGACTAATTATGTCATTTAGGGTCTGCCTGTCGAACCCTACTACTGCATTTCCAGTCTCCATGGAAGTTTGGGTGAATATTAGAAGCGCGGGGACAAAGTCCGATGTTCGCACACTGATCTAGGAGTAGCCTGGGAGGGAGGTAAAAGGTTGGATTAATCAGAAAGTACTTATATCCACTAGATGGATGGCCAAACCTAAGTCAGACTGTTGTATAAATGGAAAGGATTTTTAGAAAGCCAATACTACAGCATTGCCATGTAGCAGGGGCTTTTGGGGAAGAGGAGTCTCTGCTATTACTGGTGCTAATATAAGTAGCTGTAGATTTCAGTATTTCTGGTTAAGTTACTTCTCAGATATTCAATTCTGTCATTAATATTGGTTTATCAAGGCAGTGACTTGAATACTATACATAAGAGACACGTCATTAGTAAACGCATATTAGGGCTGATTGCGCTGTACTGGTGTGGCATGATCTGTCCCTCTCAGCGACCTCCAACGGGTGCCACCAAGGCGCAGTATCTCAATCCGAAGATTACCTACGTAAGGATGCGTGGCGTGATTTAATTTTGGAAAAGGGAAAAGGGAACATAGTCAAGGACTTTGAAGCGGGTATGATTGGCTACCATCAATAGTAAGGTAAATTAAAAAGATAGCTTACCTGGCTTGATGTACAGGGTGGTTGACTTGGGGCCAATTCGCTCTTTGCTTGCTTAGCGGCTGCCGACTCCAAACATAAAACAATTCTACCATTAACCAAAACCATCCCCCATCATGGCGCAGTAGGCCCAAAAGCGTGTGTGATCTTATGATGACATTCTATTCTAGGAATGGCGGGCAAGGCCAGCGACGGCGAGGCCAGAACAAATTGATTACGTGACTTGCCTCTTCGGCTCCCACACTACCATGGCTTCATAAATCTCAGTCCACAAAAGTAAACTAAAGCTGCTTGGACGACATCTGATCAACTCAATGTGTAAGGTTACAGGAAACGTCATGAACCTCACAGCATTCGGAGCCTAGAACATTCCTAGTGGATGATGGCTTCTCCAAAGGCCTAGCTCAATAAAGTGCCAGTAGGCATGCCACTATACTCGAAATATGCTAAACAAACCACTTGAATACCTCACTAATATAAGTAGAGCTAGTCAAATAACCTATTTTCCTTTTACGTTGTACATAGCAATTTGTCTGCTCGGCCCCCGGCTCCATTCTTGGTCTTGAGACCTTCTCACAATCCTTTCACCAAAAACGCACAAACGTAGCAAAATTATTGAATTTTCATCTTCCTCTATAATATCAATAACTTATTTATTAGTGATGGAGAACCAAAATGCAGTAATGGGGTGCAGTGATAGGCACCTAAATAGCTTTATTAGTCAGTTATTTAAAAACCCACTGACCTCTAAAACGTTCACCCAATCCTTTGAACTCATTAAGACAACATTATCCATAAGTATTGATGATGCACCTACTGTCGAATTCTTTGCGGTCTGCCGCGCCTATGCCCAACCTATAATATTAGTATTAATGGATGCAGCATAGGGCAGTCTCGGTACAGTTCCAAAGATATTTAAGGGACTACCTTTTTGGTAATTCCAATATTAACAGTCCCCCTGGGACCAAAACCGAGGCTGCTTTCCAAAGCTATATCGCCCGAATCTGCGAGTGTGGATTCACCTTGCGAATTCCGAGATGCACTATTTTACTCTCTCGTGACCCGCAACCTAGTAGGTCTTGTCACCCCATACGTCTACAGTGTGGAGTGGATTTTACTGGATCTATTATAAACCAAACAGAGGTGCCAAGCCCAACACTGATCATTTATGATGGTAATTTCATATCCCTGGGCAGCCAGGATCATGATTTGGATGATATAATGAATGGCCTTGTACTGCCCTTCGCGATTACAGAAATGAATAAGGTATGCATAGTGCTTTGTGGGACCCAAGAACACTAAATCAATGCCAGATGAACAATAGAAAGTACAATCGATTAACATCCCGGCTCTCTTGTCCCCCTGGGGGCCTGAGCTTCCCATGTTCCGTGAGCGCTTCGTTTCATCTAATCTGTATATGCGTTCCTGACATTTCTCCAGATGTTGTCATCCGAAAACACCATCTTCTCATATATTCTGCACTGAGCAGAATATCTAGGAGCATTCCAACCTCGTTCAACAACTGGCCAACTGGTATATTTATTGGGGTAGACACAGCCCTTCTCACTGTTGCACAAAACTTGGTTTCTGAACACGTTGAACTGGACCAGGACAGCTTTAGTCTGCTGGGCATACTCAGTGCTGAAAGTCGTATCAGCATTGAACCTCTCTCGAATATTAAAATCAAGGGTGATGAGCCGGAGACTGTTGTGAGTTCATGGCAACCCTGCAGTAAACCACTTAGCATACTGATACTTCTAGATAACCGTCCTTTCTGCAGATGCTATAGTAAAGCTCACACTGCATATGCCCTGGCCAATCCCAAATTTGATCCTGGGGTTCCGTTTTTGTGGCATAGCCGACATCAGTCTCCATGTTGCTCACAGTAACGGGTGCCTATCAATGAACATAAGTTTAGACAACTTGGAAATTAATCAGCACCTGATAGGCATCCCAGAATGGGCGAATTCCCTGATATATGGCTGGATTAGTCACTTGGAAGCTAGGCTATACTTCATGCTGACAAACCTTGTATTGCGACAGCTGCATATTTCTAGGCTGCCTCCAGTTCACGTCACAGATGTGGAGGGACTCAGTGTTTTCATTCAGCCAGAAGCCCTCAAGGTAGTGCAGTTAAGCCCTTCTGCAGAACCTTTCATAATGGCGTCCGGCCTACCCCTCATCCTTCGCCGGTAACGGAACCAATGGGCAGGATGCTCGTGCATGAAATTTCATTGACCAAGTTGTCCTCAGTCCTTCTTCCATTATACCTCGTCTCTCAGCGTCAGTATCAGGTCATTATTGGAGTGCAATGTACACAAAGTCTATATCCGACGATATTTTGGTATAACATATCTACGTATATCATATTCCTTATATAGCACCATAGGGCGCTGAGCATGATATAAAATACAAATCCAGATATTATGGCAGTGGAGATCTGTTATTCTGGGTCATGCTTAGTAACATAGAAACATCATTACAGTGCAGCCTCAGCTCAGAAAGAAGAATTTTATATTGAGTATGAGTACAGTAAATAGGCTATATGCATACACATTAATGGTGAAGAAAAAAAATGTCTAAGTGATTTGTTTCGACAAGCTGTAGTCAGACTAATTCTATTATTATAGGATGCCTATTCATGGAGTTATGCTTGGAAAACGAGACATCCCTTCCACACAACCAGTTGTGGTTAATAAGCCATGAACCATATTCGACTTGCATCATAACATGCGCGAAATTCTCAGGTGCATGAGCCATAATACGGTTAAGCAAAATGTGAATTCACAGACAGGAGTCCATAACGTCACAGCTTACGCCATGAAAATGGACATCCTCAACGTTGTACTGGTGCGAATCAGTTAAGACTAATCCAGCGGATTGGTCTACCAACACTTGTAAAGGGAATCTAGACTCCGTCACACCACAGCAAGAACAATGGTCTAAGAGGACAAGGGAATGCTCACCTGATAGGTCAAGCTTAATCTTAAAGGCTGTTTTTCACAACTGATATATATCACATATGTAGATTGGGTCCGAAACAGCGGTACTAGAATATCGTTGCCACTGGAAAGACTGTATTTCATTTCTTTTTCCCAGTGAGCTTACCATTACCACGTTTTTAGCCGATTGCAATTGCTCGGGCGATTTCGGCCGCTCGAGTTATTAACACCAGTGTCTTCAGTATATAGTGGAGCACCCTATCACCCGCCACTGAGTATTTGTGGCTCTGGGCAACACACCTGACATAACCTTTTCCCATGAATACTTGCAACCCTGCTGGAAACACATCTGCTGAAATATTTGGATGAGCAATGGCGTTTGCTGCTAGTGGTTCGCGAGCCTCAGCTTGGATAACTACCTCTGTATTTGTTCTGTGTTTCATTTTTCCCCGGGCCCTTATTCCTGCTAGTATTGCAGCTGTGATTGTTTTGCCTTCATTTGTTACTCTGAGCCTTATCGCCATTATCCTATCAAGACGACTTTTCGTATGGCTCACAACATCCGTATTCAACTTGCTGTTATGGTACAAGTGTCATATCCAGACACGCTGGATAGGCATATTGTTCACAGTTGGTCTATTGGCGGCTCTACTGGCTGGTTTATTAAGCAGTGAAATTCAGCACGGATTATCCCAACTACATGTGTCTACCTCTCTTGCTCTTATTTGGGTGGTTATGTGCTGGATTGTCTTCCGTTCAGATAAGCATCAACCACCTCAGATAATATGCAATGAACCACTAGTCTGCAGCCTTGATGCTGAATGAAATTGGCAGCATTACACGGGACCTTGACAAAATCCAGGAAAGTGACCTTTGGGAAATCAGCATCTTGTGACTCTGGCAAACTTAGCCAACTCTATATTGCTGAAGCCCAACCTTTCCTATCCTCCAGCCCTTTATCAGAAGAACTCGCAGGCCCCGACCTGATTCTTGACAGTACCAACTTTGGCATTGCAACTCTACTCAGGGAGCATCAAAACCCTTAAGCTTCATGGTATTTGGCACCAGACACAGCTACGATGATTATTAGTGACCCTCGCACTAGTTTCCTTGATAAAATACATTCTGGTGAGATGCTTACCGTACTGAATTGTGTATACCTCAAGTTGCACTTGGAGTATGGCGCGCTGGATGTGAAAACAGGCCAAAACAAACTTTCACTGTCACCTGCGTGTATTACCTATGGCCACCTTTTCCGTATGAACCATGAACAGCATATATATCATTGGTGATCATAAAGGACTCATTTCCTATAATTGACTAGACTTGCCCGTGCCAATCACATAGTTCATGCTAAGGACATAGTCGGTGGAAAAGGCCCCCGTGTCCTGGATATTATCCCTCTCGATTTCACTGAAACCAGGCCAGAACCAGGTCAGAGCCTGTCCATATTCTGCCTGTCGACAGTATACATAAATCCATTATCGGTGGTGGTTTCGGAAGCTTTTAAAAGGCATTCAACAAAAATATAATTCTAGTAGAAGCTGGACATGTGGAGCTGGCGGTTAACACGGTAGAGGGTGTTGGACTTACATTTACTAGGTAATCTGCTATTAGTCCAAATAGTCCATGAGGAGCTGAAGTAAGCTGGTGGTTGATGGCAATCACTGCACGAAGCAGGGAAGTTTTGCAGCAACATAATGTGAGAAGCAATTCGGTAAAAGAACACCCGATGTGTGTCACGCCACTTCCACAGAGGAGCTGTGGACATGAGTAAATCGGTATCTGCCAAAGCATAAACGTCTAGATAATGGGTGACATGTTGATAGACTGTAATCCTGAGCCCAATGTTTTCAAGAAGCGCTTCATTAGGCTAGATAAAGGGTTAAGGCAGATTTCGGCGTCCTCTACGCGGATCTGTGATACATCCAATGTTTGATCATCCTTTATGAAACAGCTCATATGCTCGGTGGGCGCTCTATTGGTCCCGTAGGCTATGAACGCACGACTGTCTGGCGCGACTAGAACAACCTTACCGCGGATAGCCAAGGCCATTTTTAAAATACGGCGCTCTGACTGTGGCACTGTGCTCAAGGGACAAGGGCTGTAGCGTAGTTAAACCCTGGCTTAAGTCTGGAACGAGTGGCATGATCGAACTGTACAGGACTCCAGTAGCATACCGACTATGATGGAAAGAAGCTGCTTTGTTTCGACGGCCTGGATTGACCAGGGTTACTTACCGGTTCATACCTATAAGTAAACCTGGTCTATCCTGGATCTAGGTGTTACCAGTGGCATCGTAGTTGATCCATCCACAGTACAGGCACAGAGCTGTTATAAATGTCAACCAGAAGCTGGAAAAAGGCTAAGTTCAAGCATATACCGGCCATTGTCAAGTCTTCGAGATACGCGTGTTTAGGCCTCTATGGCTTCCGATCGTATAGCGAAACTTATCAAGGATGAGGCGTTGGTCCAGTCACTGGATGATCGCGCCCCAGAGTATGCCGCGCTCGTGCAGTCAAGTACTGCCACTGCACTCCGCAATTCAGAAACTGCGGACCTTCTGGAGGTCACAGTTTGGGATACATCTGTTGAGGAGCGAAGGAGAGTTTATTCTGAACGGCCGCCTTTCAATACCGATTGGGCAGCGTTGTTCTACAAATATCTACGAGAAAGGAGTGTTGGCAGTAACCGGGAACTAGAAACAGGTATTGACACTGTGATAAAGAACGCTGTTCTTGACGCGTCTCAAGAATATTATACTTCCGAGGAGACAATTGCTATACTATCGGGAGAGTTAGTAAAGCAGGTTGATATGAATGAGAAGGTCCGAAAAGCCATATACAACGAATTGCAGGCCACGCGGAAATTAGCTATAAGGGAGTCGAGGGATGCAATCTCTGCACATACGCAGGTTATCCTTGCTGACAGGATGCACGACGTCATGGCTCAGTCACTCAACCATGCCGTGGTAAATACCACCGTTGGCAGTGTCGTTGGACACATGGTGCTCTCCGCAATGGCGCTTCCCGCAGTCAAGGTCGCCATCACCCATTCGATTATTGTTGCTGTTCATAGCGCAGCTGTGCAGCACATACTGGTATTGGCAGGGAAAAAAATAGGCGTCACAGTTCTCCTTACTCTCATTTTCGGCCATGCGGCAGCCTCTTTGGCCGGCTGGTTTGTGCTTCCAATCATTGCGGCTTTCGTCACCTACCAATATCAAACATTACCAGACACTTTAGCCAAGAAGATACCGCGTGAGCTAGCGGAGCAGATTAAGCAAAACGCACCTACAATTAATAAGTCTATCGCAGAGGGTGCAAAGAAAGCAGCAATGGAGGCGTTCTTTTCGCTTTCGGATAAGTCAATTTCCATTCTCCATGATGCTGCCATGAGACCACAGGCCAGCCGCTTTTAAATTCTTCTTCGCGGGCCTTTTTATAATATTCTCAGACTGGACGCGTTAATTCAGGTACTGTTAATACGCAATGGTATATCGCAATGCTCCTGTTTCCATATCTCAAGGCACTGCTGGGTGTAATTCCTGTTAAGAAAGTCACTGCTTCCTGAGGCAGGATAACAAATATCCCGTACAAAAGGTTGCTCAGTGGGACAGATCAAAAGCAAAAATATGACTTGACTGGCATCTGACTCACGATGCCATATGATCTCGTACGTCTGTCTCACCATTTCGTGGAAAGCATCATATCTGCGCCCTAAATCACACATGCACGTGAAAATATGGGAATGGCCATTCAGGTTCCAACACGACTGAAAGATGGTGAGGTGCTGTAGAAGTAGCCTGCAGAGCCAGAACTGCATCCTGGCTTCTGAGTCCCAGTGGAGTATCACAGAAGTTTGATTTTGGATGGTATGTGAATAAGTCAGACTTTATCGCAGTATGTCCATAACTGGCTAATTACAATCTGTAAAACGGGTTCATGTTTCTCGGATGTTGAAAGCCAAACTTTCGTTTAATGACGGGGGTTTATACGGACCTCATTCTTAGAATTTATTTCTCTTCGCAGAGTGGTCGACGACCACCTGTGCAGCCAGGGTAAACTGGCAAAAGGTCTCGTGAGGTAGTCAAACCAGCAATTCTATGAGGTCTACAGCGTATTGCATACTGGACCTGACATCATTAGAACTAGTCTACCTTATTGTGCAACACGTCGTATGATAAGCTACATTGGGCTTGCGTCAGGTGTGGCTACAGGCCAAGCTCCATATTGTAGTAGAGGTAAATTTCAAGGCCTCGAACGGTCGGTACAGCGGTAAAGTTGCAGCCGGCCTAGGCTATCGCAAATATTAAAATACACTGCGAGCAATATCATCCCTGTCATTGGATATTTCTGGCATTTGTCGCCGCTCAAGTTTCTCGGTGATCTTTGTCAGACGGTATCTGACATCGACGGACCCAAATTTAAGAAATAATCTGAATGTTCAACGGTAATTAACCTATTGGACCACTTACGTTGAGCATTAAGCAAGCGTCAAAAAAGCTGCCTCCTTTTCTTGGTCTAGCTGAATTTAACTAACCGATAATTGACCTTCAGTGACTGTTATCAACCACGATCAACTCTCTGGCCCACTTAGCATAAGGTGCTATACAAGTCTCCCCAATTACTTCTTTCCTTTATCAGGATAGCGGTGCGTAGCTGGTTGAAAGAACGGCTGAAGTTGTAAATTTCTCACAACAGTGAATCACAAGCTGCTCAATTGGAGGGGAGTGGTAAGCACACGTCATAATGCTTGTTATTTGGTGCCACCCGCCATGATGGCGAACAGAGAGCCAGATTCTTCCAAAGTAGGATGATCTAATACAAGCCTCAATATACTTATGGCGCATCCATACATCATGCGGTAATGTCCCTCTTGGGGCCCGGACGTGACAGTACATATGCCCCTGTCTGCTGGCAACAAGCCACGGCCTGACGGTATTTGCGCTCCTGTCCGTCGGACCTGGATCCCAACCTGATAGTACAGTGGTCACCATGAAGCACAAATCCTAATCACGTGATGGACTATCCCCAATATGGCCACATCCGGATAAACACCGTTTGTTGCTGTTTAAAGTAGTCATAGAGCAAAATGTATAAAGCATACGCAAGCAGGTTTTGGGTCCTGGGCGAGTCCTAGATTTGGGACGCGACCCCGACCCGATGCCAACTCTAGCCATAATGGCCTAATAAATCAGAGTCCTCGTCACCAGAATGGGATATTGTACGCCACATCCCGAAATTGGATAATTATCGCTGATGTTGAATTTTGCATTCTAGATGCTCCCATTATAGTGCTTGCTACCACGATTACACCCATTGGAGATGGCCTTTTGGCAGCCTTGACTGTGAATATGCCCTCTTCCCACTGGGTGGGCTATCAGGTATTGACAGACCTTGGTATCTACAGGGGCCAGCGATAGTCACACATCTCCATTCCAGGCGTCTTGCCCAAGGCTGACATCCCTGCAGGAGCCTCTATCGTGGTACTTTCTAAACGCTGAGTGAGCAAAGTATATACATAATCAACAGTTTCCAAAGTCCCTCCTCGCGGCTAGAGCAATGTTATCTTCCACAAGGACTCGAACAGCTAGCATTGCTAAACCCTTGGCAGATTTGATTGCAATGGTATGAGCTTCCTCTGTTGCAGCCGCTGTCGCGAAATCTGGGTTATGGCAAGCGACGCCCGAAGCTACCGGGATGGCAAAAGCGCCGTGGAAGCTGGGGACCACATAAGATACATTGCCCATATCCGTAGAGCCGAATGCTTTCGCCTGAGCCTCTCTAGGCATGATATTCTCGCCCAGCGCGGCCATTTCTTTGACATACGTTTCACTGAGTGTATTATTTACACGGAGGTCCATATATGTGGGAGACCTAGGATAATTAGTCATGCATGGCCTTGGAAGCTTAGAACTGTACGACTATCACTCACGGGATGTAGTTGATAGAGCAGCCAGCCGCCGCGGCGCCAGCCTCGAAGCATTTCTTGACACGATCTAATAGTTCGTTGGATCGCTTCGTTGTCGAACTTCGGATGCACCAATTCATTCGCGTGTACTCAGGGATGACGTTCGGTGCAGCGCCACCGTCCTCAAAGACGCCGTGGATCCGTGCGTCCGGTTCAATTTGCTGACGTAGCAATGCCACATTATTGTAGGCTGCAACGGCTGCGTCTAGCGCATTACGACCATTCCATGGATCACCGGCCGCATGCGCCGTTTTGCCTTTGAACTCGACACGGAGCTTTTGGCTCGCAATCAGTCTCCATCCAGCGAGTCCGGAGAAGTCTCCTAGATTGAGCGACTCCTTGGACATTGGGTGTATCATGAAGGCTCCCGCAATATCCTCTGGGGGGCTGAAGGCGCCGGCTTCGATGAGCTTCACCTTACCTCCGCCCCCTTCTTCCGCCGGCGTACCAAGAATGCGCACACGCCCTGCGATCTTGAGGTCTACCAATGCGCGAGCAGCTCCCAGAAAGGCGGCCAGAGACGACGTAGCGACTAGGTTGTGACCGCAGGCGTGCCCTATACCAGGAAGGGCATCATACTCGGCACAAAATACGACCAGACGGCCCCCACTACCAACCTCGGCTTCGAAGCTAGTGTCGATACTATATGCATTTCTCGTGACTTTGAATCCGCGCTGCTCGAGATAGGAGGAGAGTGTATCGTGAGCGATAAACTCCGTATATCCAAGTTCTGGATTGTCGTGGATGACTGTGTTAACGTCCGTGCGCAGAGATGGGCTCAAGTCGTCAAGCTGAATGCCGATTATGGCACGTGCTGCACTGATAACTTGATCAGTTAGCATACCAGTGGCCTCGGCGCTGCGTTGGACCTCAGTCATATTGGGCGTGAGTGAAGGTTAATGTCCTGTGTGTGAGGACAGGCTGCGAGGTAGGGCAAGAATGGGATGAACGAGTGAAGACGGCTGGCCTTTTTAAAGGCCTGTTTCAGTGCCGGAATGACCACAGCATGCCTCGTCTCGTGGGTTCAGTCAACCCCATCTATCAGATGTGCTGGTGGAGGCGGGCTTCCAGGAAGAAGTACATGGTGGGCCCTTTTAGCCGACCGCCGGCTACCTCTATGAGTCTATCTTAGTGGCCGCAGAAGCTCGGACATGCGACTGTCGGCTATCCAGATATCCGTCATCGCTGATTGGAGCGTAAAGCCGGGGTAAAAGGCAAAGTTTAACTAGCTTGTTTTTGGGACACAGCAAATTGTTTCTTAATAGCGTATGGCTTGTGTAGAGGCCCGTTCACCGGCTTGGCAGGGTCATCATTATTGTAGGAGCTGCCGTTTCAGCCACGCACTTCAACGCAAATTCCTCCTTCCCCCCTGCTCGCTGCCAGTATCCAAGCAACAGTCGAGATTGACCCGTGCATCCACTCTTCCACTAGCCCTTGGTACCTATGACACCATGGACTCGCCGTCAGACCCTCACCCACAGCGGTCGTCGCCGCCTTCTCCCCGCTCATCTGAGGGGCGGCGTGCGCCACGGTCACGCAGTGGATGCTGGACCTGCCGGACCAAAAAGGTCAAGTGCGACGAGGGAAGGCCACAATGCCGGCGATGTCTCCGGCTGAAGCTTCTCTGCGATTATACGCCAAGGCGAAAGGCATTTAAGATCGGACGGCAGATCGTCCAGTCACAGCGCCGGCGCCCTGCTGCAGACACAGCCGGTACCGACACCGCGCCCCAAACGTCGCCCACAAGTGATTGGTTCCAGTCACTGTTGAGGCAAGATGAAGCAAGATCCATCTCGACCGTTCGCATGCCGGTGCCAGCGACCAGCACTTCCTCGGTGACACTCACTGCGAGCGACCATGAGGCCATCCGCTATTTCCGGACGACTTTTGCCAAGCTACATCACACCAAGAATCCGGACTATTCCCTCTATTCCATCATGTTCAAAGTCGCCGAGGTCAATCCGGTCGTGATGCACATGGTGCTGGCGGTGGGAGGGCGAGAGATGGAGTTTCAGAGGAATCTACAGAGCGGGCATGAAGTAGGGCTAGGAGCCGGTTCTGCTTTGGGGCACTACTCCCAAGCCCTTAAATTGATGGCCGACGTCATCGGAAATGAAAGTTCTAGCCGGTTCAATTTCGACTCGATCTACACAGCATTGTACCTCATGCTGTTTTACGAGCAAAGATACGGTGATGACAAATGTGTTGGACTTGTTCACCACCTCAACGGTGCCGCGCAGATCCTCAAGCAACAATACAGCGACAAGATTAGCCTTTTACCCCCAGTTGCTCGAGCACATCAACCATGGGCTCTCTCCTCCCATGCCCATGGGCTGGCATCAAACGATCACCTGTCACTTTATGCTGCCCGACTATTAATGTGGATGGTTAACTTTGACACTTCGGCGGCCTCCTATGGATTGGACAGTCAACTACATGCCACCCTATACCAGCTCATGAGCACGACGGCCGTTGAGAGGCAGGCTGGGCACTACATTCAGCCTTTGGAGAAATTCGAGCAGTTGCACCATTACTCCAGCCCACTCTACCGGATCGTGTGGGGCGATGAGTACCCCCAAACCGAATTACTGGATGACGTTGAAAATCGAAACGTGTTCTTCTTAGAGGGTGCATGTGTTCAACTGCGATTTATGGTAGCCCAGCTGGCTAAACTTCACGACAGTAAGACCGATGCGGCGACCCGGTGGGCCTCTGACGTTGAGCTTTGCATCGAAAACACCCGCAATAAGTTTTGCGATTTGATTGACGTCGCCGCGGGGCTTTCTGTCTCCACGGACAACTCGCATCGGCTCGTTGCCAATCTCCGCCGGGTTGTGCCGCTGTTTTACGCCGTGGTTCTCTATTTTCTCCGCGTCCGATCGGGTCTCAGTCAATCTGTGACCCCGCAACAAGTCGACTCGTTACGCCATATCATGAACCTAGCATTCCAGGCACACAAATACGACGGCGAGAAGGCTATGGTGCGCCTTGCGTGGCCATTGTTCATGGTGGCACTGGAGACGAATGACCACCTCCACCGGGAGTGGGTCCTCGGCCGATTCCGTGCCATCCGTCAATTTGGCCTGAATTTCCAACGAGCATATCAGTTCTTGGTTTATGTTGTTGATCTGCAAAGCAAGTTGGGGGAACGTGTGGATGTGCGGGGTATCTTCCAATCTCGTGATTTTGGCTTGTTTGTTCTCTAGTATTCATTAAAAAAAAATACGGGAGTCTAAACTTTAAACCACCACCGCTTTGACTGAATAGCCGACTGTCGCTTATTCCATAGAACCACACACACACACACACACTCTCTCTCTCTCTCTCTCTCTCCTATGACCCTTACATGTTGGCCAAGATCTTTGGCTCGTGGCGCTATGGCCATTCCATATCCAGTACTATACTTCAATTGCGGGGAAAAGGTTACGAAGGGCCTTGAAGCGGCACTCCAGTCGTTCTGTATATATATATAATGTCTCCAATCTAGCTTGACCCCTGTTCAACGCTTGCATTTCACCAAGTCGAATCTTGCCCGCACAATGGCCGACAACAACCAATCAATTGAACCGAAGGTATCATGTCCGCAGGAAACTCTCAAGGATGTTGACCTAGGAGATCTCAATGTGCAGTCGCTTACTCTGGAGGAGGACAAGAGGATTCTGCGCCGGATTGACCTCTAGTAAGTTATGTCTTATATGCCACGGGATTGCGACTTCGCTCATAAAAAATCCAGCCTTCTCCCAATGATGGCGGTTTCATACATGTTCCAGTTTCTCGACAAATCGGCCATGAGCTTCACATCCATTTTGGGTCTGACCGATGATCTGCACCTTCAAGGAGAGGATTACTCGTGGGCCAGCAGTATTTACTATTTCGGCTACTTAGCTGCGTCTTATCTTGCAGCGGTCTTGCTGGTTCGGTTTTCCGTTGGCAAAATGATTTCTACATCGATGTGCGTGTTCTGCTGGCTTGATGCCGTTATACTTTCGTGGATAGATGCTGACTTCAATCCCAGTATTGTTTGGGGTGCCGTGTTGATGCTGACGGCAACGGTGTTCAACAGCCAAGGTCTCATCGCGGTTCGTTTTTTCCTCGGTGTAACTGAAGCCGCCATTGCCCCCGGTCTCAGCATTGTCGTTTCCATGTGGTACAAAAGATCCGAACAACCCTTTCGCCATGGCATCTGGTTCCAGGGAATTACTATCGCTGGGATCTTTGGCGGGCTGGTTGCGTACGGAATTGGTCATGTGCAATCGATCGCTCCATGGAAGGTAAGAATGGTTGATGTGTTCCTTGATACGCTCCCAGGCACTTATACATTGGCCCTTTCAGTCCTTGCATTATGTTCTGACTTTCCGTAGGCCGTGTTTCTCATTTTTGGTGCTATCACTATTGTCTGGGCTTTCATTCTTTTCTGCTGGCTTCCAGACACCCCGATGAACGCAAGGTTTCTCGGTGAGGATGACCGACACAAGGCCGTTTTGAGAGTCCAGGAGAATATGACTGGCATCAAGAATGATGAATTCAAGGTTTACCAATTCATCGAGGCACTTCTTGACTTGAAATGCTGGGCCTTTGTCCTCATCCAAATCAGCTGCTCCATTCCCAATGGTGGGGTGTCCAATGTAAGAAGACAAGGAAAGCAACGAAGATATCATGGCGCTGACAAAGGACCTACCAGTTCGGCTCGATCATCATCGAAGGTTTCGGCTTCAGTACGCTGAATACCCTGCTTGTTCAGATCATAACATACGTGGTCCAGGGTGTCCTCGTCTATCTCTCCACCGCCGGTTGTTCTTGGTTTGAAAATAGTCGAACGTATTGGATGGTATGGAACTCGGCCCTTTCGATCGTTGGAGCTGCTATGGCTCGGCAAATATCCCCCGATAATGTTTGGGCTCGATTTATCGGGTACTGTCTGGCGGGCGCTTACGCCGTGAATTTTCCGTTGACGCTGTCAATGTCGACAGGCAACATTGGAGGGTTCACGAAAAAAACCACGGTGAACGCTATGGTACAAACGCCGCCCTTTGGATCATGTCTCTCAAGTGAAAAGTTCTATACTGATTTCTCTCAGGTCTTTATTGGGTACTGCGCCGGAAATATCATTGGACCGCATCTATTTTTCCCCGATGAAGAACCGTCGTATCCATCGGGCTTCCTTGCCATGCTGATATGTTTTGTCATCTCGCTTGTAGTGTCCCTTTGTCTGAGGTACTATCTTATCTGGGAGAATAATCGTCGGGATCGCCTTGGGCATATGGATAGTGGCGATTCTTTCGAAAATCTCGATGCTACCATCCTTGACAAGACGGATAAGGAGCTCTTGCAGTTTCGCTATGTTTATTAAAGCAAGCTCTATGCTTAGGATGAAGACAATCATCGTAGGACCAAAATGATCCCCTCTTTATCCAGCCCTAGGGTATTCCTACGTAAGGGCTAACTTGTCAGCCACATATAACAAACATCAATTAATGAGGCAACGATGGCATTTTACGGGGCTGGAGAGCTTACCGTTGAAGGCAAGTAGAACGCGATAAATCCGTCAAATATCTGCAGGGATCATCCATCCGTCCTAGGATGTGCATGGTCATTCGACATCGATGTATAGGGCTCATGGCTGGTGGGAGGAGGCAGAGTGCTCGGACGTTTTTTGACTTGGCTGATAGTTCGAAAAGCCGGAGCCATCGGACTAATAAATGAAAGTAGTGCGGTATAGTATGCTCAATGCACTATGATATGACGACCAGTGATCCGCTCAGCAACATGTTCGTATTCATTTTCTTGACATCAACATTGCCGGTAATAGGCCTTCTAGTCGTCCCCTTTGGGCTATTATTGTTTTATGGTGTTCTATCTTACATATTCATCTTTGATACTAGACAAGGACTGGTAGTAGAGGATATTGCTCCGTTTTAGACTAGTTATTGACCAGCCAAACATGAAATTAACCCACATTTAGGTTCTAACCGCTTTATAACATCATCCGTTCCTTGATTATTAATTACTATGCATATATCCTATCTCCTTGTCGAGTCCTTAGCCCCGGCTGAGTCCAGCTCCGATACGGGGACGGAGTATTGACCCAGCTCTGTGGGCGGCGTGGCAGGGACTGGAGCATAGCCATGACCATGCTGATAATTGTACCCCATTCCACTAGGTGGGCCAGCAGCAGCAAGGCTCGCCTTCAGCGCCTCTAGCTCTCTCTTCGAAGCAGTCCTCTGTTTACGCTCCCATGCGCCCCAGATTAATGCCGAACCAGCGATCAGACCCAGAGGAATACCCAAACCTAACCCGATGGCGAGTCGCGTCGACTGATCGTTGTTGTCAGTCGAGGTACCTCCTGAAGAGTCTCTGCTACTATTTCCTGAGGGAGAAGGACTGCTGCTCGTGCTACTTTTGGTGTAGTTGGCTAGCCCTGCGACGCCAGGCATCACGGTTCCAATGGCCACGGTAAAGGCACGATCGACGGCACATTCAATCGAGGTGTTGTCGATGCTCACAACGTTTCCACAACAATATTGGTCATCGATTGCATTGACAACCCGGTAGCCAGTACCCTGATTCCAGCGCGCTACAGATCACATCATTTTAGCATATCCATTGTAAGATGCTGGTTGAGAGAGGTTAGACGAGTCGACTTCGAACGTACCACATGGCTCTGCACCTTTACAGGCACCACCCCAATTTTGATCCGTGCAGCTCCCCCTTGACATGACCGGGTGATTCCCTTGGCTCTGGAGGTAGCAGAGACCGTTCGAGAGACATATGTCATTCTTGTTGCAACAGGTGGTTATCTCTGCGCTCGTGTTGCAGGGGACATCGGCCGTGGCGATATTGCCGTTGACGAAATAGCAGGTCGCATCGGACTTCACTGCTACCGATGTTGTGACCAATGTTAATAACGGTAGAAGACGGAACATGGCTGAGCTGATTTGTGTTTTCCTTTTGACTGGGCCCTTTTATGAAGAAAACGTCTTGCGGTGCGCGAAGCCCAAGTCAGGGCATCCCAGATGGCAACTGTACGGATGTCATATTGGATAAGAAAAAAGGAAGAACGGAGGTGGGGAAATCAAAGGGATTGTCCTCCATTTTTATTCAGCTCGGCAATTCCTCTCACTTATGATTAGAGGATGACTTGGACATGCAGCTAACAAGCGCTAAATCCTTCAAGATACACACATTGGGCAGGTTCGGCCCCAAAGTGGAACGAACGAGGAAGAGCCTCTTGTCTTTGCAGTCCTGCAAATGGGTCTTCAAATCGGAGCTTCGTTTTGACTTGTTCTTGGGGCGTGGATAATGTACCTCAAAATGGGTCCTGGCCTCACAATGATCAATCAGGGCTCAGGAATCTCACTGATCGACAAAATCCCACCTTTCCAGGCTTGGGCTCTTGCACCGCCTTGACCGCTGACCGGGAAATTCCCAGAGTTTAGCCGTACAGTGGAGAAAGCCTTACCATATTGTGTATTAGACTATTAGCACTTGCTCGGTCTTCTTGGCGGTGGGTCTAAATACCACCCATAAGTGGGCTTGATACTTTGGTTTACCTGCTATGCATGTTGCCACAGGAATCGATCATCACTGCTGATAGAGATAAGCGCTTCGACCACTTCCGCCCTATTATAGCATCAGTGAATTCGTAAGATTGTGGCCATCTATCCCTCCTCTGGATCGGAGAGCTCGGTTCAACAATTCTAGTAAAGGATAGGACCTAGCACTAGAACTGCTTTTCTCTGACTTGATTCAATTTCTATATGCAGTACCATGTTACCATGATATTGAGATAATGTTTTCCATTTGTTCAAAACTGAGATTCTACACAGATTAAGCAATGATAAATTGTCTGATTTTCGTGACTTTTCACGATAGCTTTTGTCCAGACAGTTATTTAAATTGAAGTGGTGAGGACATTACAACCAAGGTCTTGCAAATACGCATCCGAGGTGGGAGCCCTCCCCAGGAATTCCTCCACTGCCTTGTGTTCATTCTTGCTACCACCATGGTTCAAAATTTGCTGTCGATACTTTATGGCTGCCTGCCGACACATGGGCGAATTCTTGAAGCAGGATGTCCATATGTCCGCTGCTAATGTACGAGTACTTTCAGGTCTGTCAGTGCCTTGCTCACATGAGACCAGAGAAGTATAACATACTACAGGTAGGAATAGTAACTAGCCTCCTGACCCCACACAAAATGCGAGATCGTGACATGACCGTGACCCCAATCATACACATTTCCCGGACCACTCAGACCCGTCGTGGTTTCTAGAAGGGAATTGTAAACTTCGGGGATATGCATTCTCTCGATATCATGATGGGAATCGGGATTGTGGATCTGCATGTCGAACTTGCTGAATGCGACCTGTCGGAGAGTGAGAATGCCTTGGTTGTGCTGCTTCGTAGCGCCAAGGTTCTGGGCCAGCACAAGGGGAAGTTCTATCGGAGGTTGTGTGGTATTCGTCACTTCCCGACCGCTCAACGAGTGGCTGTAAAGCTCTGGGGAAGCGTAGGAGTAGTGGTAGCTGAGTTGTCGAAGGTATTCCGGTGTCCAGCACCAGTACTCCAGCAATTGACTGGGTGCTTCGGTGAAGTCGGTCACGGTGCGGTGGCCGTGGAACGTAGTGTATTTGGATTTACCTGCCAGATCGTGAATCCCTTCCATACGAGAGCTTCATTAGCGTCCGCTGAGTTACTGGACTTGAAGCTTTGAGATGATACTAGCCATGTCCCAATTTATGGAATATAGAAACGACTTCCGCGTGTCTCAGCAGTGCTGGTTCTGACTGTGAAACATTACACACTAGAGCTGTTACTACTGGCGCCTGTTTTCTATCTGTATCTAGGAAACTCTTCGCGGAGGGTTAGGAGACATTCATGGACATAGGTTATGTATGTAGTTTGGGACATACGGGGTAAATATTGAAGTTGGCTGCATGGTTATATTTTCCGGCACGAGGGAAGATGTCAGTGTCCAGATATCCGATCAGAGCAGAGTCCTGTTCCTCCCTGACAGAGAATAGATCCACGTCTGGATGCCAAGTGTGAGAGCTGTCCGAGACTTCCGCTTTCCCGAACCGCAAGCCGAATAGTTCTCCGTATAGTCCAAGCATACGCTGAACAGTAACCCTGGCAGGAAACCATTGCGATATATACCCATGGTCCACATGGTTCTGCTCCTGCAGTATTCTTGTGTGGTAGAAGTCGAAATCCCAGAGATTAATTGGGCCATCGTTATCCGTCAGCTCGTGGAGCTTTGCAATCTCCTTCTCAGCTAGTAGCTTCAAAGCATTCTGAAGATGCTCCAGAAAGTCATTCACGCGGCCTGGTGAACCCAGCATCTGCTGCGTGAGCTTCTGGGCCGCGAAAGAAGGGAACCCCAATAGACGAGCGGCCTCATCCCGCAGCACAATGATCTCGCGGAAAATCTCCACATTAGCCTGATATCGGGAACTGCTACGCAGATAAACCTCCCGCCGGGTGTCTGGAACGCTGCACTCGGCCAGAATAAGATTGGTGGTTGGTCTGGTAAGAGGGATTCGATATAAGCCCTCCCGGCCGTGTTCGCCCGCTCCGGGCGATAGCTTATTTAATGGCACGCCGGCTAGCTGTTGTTCACTCTTCCAAAGACAGCCTGGATCTAAGCCGAGTGTCTCCATGAATTTGACGCGAAGCTCGATCAAGCGATGAGGGATCCAGGTAAACCGATTGCGGCTCGAGCCGGTTAAATGCATACCATTCTCAATAAAATTCCAACGGAATTTACTAAGTAGCCGGACATCTTCTTCACTCGTGGTGTGTGTATTAGAACTATTCTCCCATACACGACTCACTAAGGTAAAGAGCTTCTTATTCTGAAATATATTCAGATAAGCCCGGTCCACAAGAGAGATTGCCCGAGAGGATGCCTTCCTGACGTCTGGGCTGGGAGGAATGGCTTGGAAGAAGGCTATGTATTGGACTTGCTCCTTGATCTTGTTGTCGATGTGAGCCAAGGGCACAATTATAGTCTCGAAATTGATGGATGTGTTGTCTATGCAGGAGCTAATCAGGCGAGCGGTCGCTTGCCCCGTGTGAGAGATCAGGTCTTTCGCCTGTTCTTCCAGACCCTCTGCTGAGATGTCGAACCTTGGGATTGGACATATAGACGTGGCTGGCTCACTCATCTTTGCATTTTTGATAGTGGTACTGGCGAAAAGGTGGGGATCTGGCAGGACTGACTGAGTGGGTGAGCAGATCAAGATAAGAAACTCAGGGTTATCTACGACGTGTGCAGTATGTAATGTAAAACATTGGATTACTATGTGAGGAGTATGAGGCTAGGCGTATCAACACGTATTGATATAATACACAATACAGCGGGTCCTTTTCCCCTCTTTTCGGATAATTTCC